TTCTGTGAGTTTCATCCATCAGAGAAGACTTCACAAACACTGTTCTAGTGTCTAAAGCATACCAATTAGATTAAGTAGAGAAAGGTCAATGGATTTCGAGGGTTGAGGAGAAGGCCAAGAAGCTGTCTTGCTGAAGAGGGTGAATATATTTTCACGAGTATTACTTCCTGGTGTAATTTAGAGAATCTAACAGCACTAATTTGTGCAAAGAGTGGATGTTGGAAAATGTCACAGAAGGTTATTTTATAAAAGCAGAAATGTTTCGAAATGTTTGAAATGGCATTCAGCTGACGTCAGCTTGGCCTTTTCAGTGAAATGTCCTCCTGTTATTTCAGTGCAGAACGACACCACACGGCCGCCTGTGTTTCCTCATCTGTTGGTCAGAATGACGACACCCACACTGGAATAAATGCATAGTTTATCATATCATAACAATAAATTCTTCAAGGCTACATCGTAAATAAAAACAGTCTAGCAGATTTAGGGATTGTAGCCTAAATTATGAACAGGAAGTGAGGCGAACAAACCGTGTCATCAAGAAGAGGTACATTGAATATTTATGCTCATTCTGTGAGGCGATGCAAGACAAACGTTGCTCTAAAAAAGGTAAAACTGCTGCCACTACCGAGAGTATAGTAAGTGATCGCCTTGGTTTTCATACAGCTACGAGCTACCAGAGATCACAACTTAGGCTACTTCTGCTACAGTACAGTATCGCTTTAAATTCCTCTAGATACCTGAATACAAACAGCATCCTGCTGTGGAAAGAAAGACAAAGAGAGAAAAGTCAATCATTCCTCTATAGGCATATTTTTTTTAAACAAATCTCCATAAGTGCAGAGCAGTGGATCTCAGAGTGACGTCCTTCAGGGGTTCTTGAGGTGAGTTGCAGTAGGATCTTTGGGGTTGTAAGTTCTTCATGTGGGTTCCAGAGACTATTGACAGTGTTTCTGGTAAGTTGAGGGGTTCATATGATTTATTTGGTGGTTCAAGAGTTCTTGACTGGTTGCAATGGCTGTTGACCTTCACAGAAGTGTTCTTAAGGGTTTTTGTTCTTAAGTAGTTGAGATGGATCAATAGTTCTTGAGAGGGCCACATGGGTACCGGTGAATGTTCCTCAGGGAATTTAAGGTTTGCAGGGGATTTTAAGTGTACTTGAAGGAGGTCTTAAGGGTATTATGTGGTTCTTGTGGAGGCAGAAATTATATTTTAAAATCACTAGAAAGTGCAAAAGTTAAAGCGTGGGTGGATTACGGAGCTGGCATTCTGGGCACAGAAAACAAGGAACCCAGGAGGTCCAGGGGCCCCGGATCCAGAGACGTTGTCATTAAATGGAAACTCCACCAATTTTACACATCAAAGTCTGTTTACAGGTGCTGGGGAGCTTTACTGCATATGTGAAAAAAAGTCATTTAATATCTCTAAAAGGGGAGTTTTTCCCTTGCCACTATTCGCAAAGTTCTTCTTCATGCTGGGAACTGGTGCAACAAGATAACTTCTGTTAACACTAAATAAACTTGAGTCAGCATCAGATGGGCTGAAGACAACGAGTTTGAAAATGAAAATAATCTGGGGATGTGGAGTTAGAAAGAAGTTAGTTTACCAGCCCACCATAACACACACACACACAACCCCCAGGCTGAATTGTTGCCAATCGAGTTGTATTGTGGGTAATGTAGTGCTTGACGAGGAAGAAGAATGTGTGAAATTAAAAAAAACGACATCTCTGGATGTGCTGCATCAAGTTTGAGCTCGTTTTTTGAGAGTCTGATGTGGTTAAAGATGGGAAACGCTAGATCGATCGATGAACCGATCCTGATCGAGTATCTGCCATCCAATCTATCAATATTTGTTTTTACTGATTTATTGCCTTCATATTACAGTTGTACTGCATACTGAGGAGCTAGGGATGCATCTAAAATATTTCATTTACTGATCAATGTAGCCATTATCTTTTAGACATGTTTCACCTAAAACATGTTAGAAAATAGTAAAACAAAAAATGCACATGTCAAATTCCCAGATGAGTCGAATTCTAAAATATATTCAATTTAGGGTCAAATAAAACTGAATAAATCCTGACATGTGAGAGGCTCGAACCAGACAACTAATTGTTTCATTCTAATACAGCAACATTATTAAAGAAATTTAAACGAGTTGGACAGGAGAATAGCTCTGCTTCAAGAAAGGTTTCCTGTAACATTTCATAGCATGCTGTAATATTTAGTAAATTATCTGTCAGACAGCTTCTCTTCATCTCCAGCATGAACTCAATACTAAAATCTAACTAGTTTTTGAACAAACAGCAGCATTAAAAGAGTTCTGGTTCACCAGCTAAATGTTTCAGAGAGAGTCTCTTTCAGTGGGGCCCTTTGTCTCACAATCTGTGCAGGAGCTAAAGGATGCACAGTAGGACTTTCAGAAGAACCACCTTTGTATCCCTCACAGACAGTGAAACACCCCAACACTAAATCAAGAACAATAAAACCAAGACATCCCTTTGTGGAGGTTTTCAAGACTTCTGCTTATTGAACTGAAGATAAACGTCCTCTGGTGTCTTAGTTCTGTGACAAGAAAATGCTAAAAACATGAAAACTCCTCAGGACTGGGTGTTAGGATAAAACTGGCCAAACAACAATCACCCCCTCCCCACCTGCATCCGACATGCAGAACACTGATGCATCCCGGCAGCACTTCTCTCCTCGGTCCTCATTCAGGTCAGTCCGTATCCCAAACTCTGGATGCGGTCATGTCTCTCTGTGCACCGTGCTCTCCCATCCATCCCTGCTGCAGCCTCATGTCAGGTGCGTGCAGTCACCTACATAACGTGTGTAGATGTGCGCGTGCGTGCTGTATAGTCATCCAAGCCTCGACTCGCACTCGGTGCGGTTCGGTGCCACGGTGCTGGTGATGTTGTAGTGCGAGTCCGGTCTCCAGAAAAACACATAATAAATCACCAGGATGAACGCAGCCACGGACACGCAGAGGAAATAGACAATCGCCATCGCTACTTTCACCCAAATCTTAGTTGACATATTGGTGTGTTTGGCCCGCAGCTCACCGGGATAGCTCGGCCTCCGCTTCATGTCCCCGTTCAGCTTCTCCGCGGTCACGGTCACTTGCCTGCCGGCCGCTTTCATCTTGGTATTAAAGCTAAAACCGTATCCAACGATTTTCCCTCTGCTGAGTGTCGCGTGTTCATTTGAGTCCGGACAGCAGAGCCAGTTGTCCCCCTCTGCCCTCCACGGCTCTTCTCTGTGCGGGTATAGGATGCAGTCTAAACGGCAGGGCAGCTGCTCATGTCCCGCCGCCTCCTCCGGTGCTGTGTGCGCAGGACGGTAAAGCTCCCTGACCCCTCTGAGTCCTCGGTGCGCACCGGGCAAACTGAACTCAAGGAGGCTCCGCTGTCCCTGGCATCAACTGGATGGGACCGCTATCAAGTTGGCCAGGGTTGGAGAGCTCGTTTCCGGTAAGACTTTTCAAAATAACGCAAACTTCAAGAACAAAATGTTAGCGTGAAGCACAGAGACTTTATTGATCCCCGTGCGTGCGCGCGTGGCGATAGCCTATAAGAAAAATAGGCAACATAAAGAAGTAGTAGGCCAACACAAATAAATGGGATTTAAATGAGGAGTAAAATGCTAATGTGCGTTTCTTTAAACTCATCAAATAGAGTTATTAGAAGAGTTAGAAAAAGGCGTTCTCAAATGAATATTTGCTACTAATGTGAGAGCAGAGTAGCCTGCATCAAAACAAAAACTATGTGCCTTTAATTGGTAGGCAAAACATGGAACCAATTAAATGTGAAAGACCAAGTTTGTTTCTTATTAATGAGGGGATCAATGGGTTTTCTGTCTTCAGCTCCACCTGAGCTTGATTAATGAAGTGACTGCTCCAGTAGACTAATTTCACAAATAATAGGAGGTGGTTAATCCGCCAATACAGATCAATAACAGGTCTGCAACATTTAAGGCCTTTAACATGCTAAAGTTAGCCTATTGAAATGTGAGACCAGTAAATAAACATGAAGAAAAAGTATCTGGGCACTAATCATAGTATTTAATGATCTGCATCATTATTAAAAACTCTGCTAGACATGCAGCTTAGATTAATTAAACATCAACTGAACACATTCCTCGTTAGTTGTAGGCTAAGTATCACTGATGTTAACGACAGAAAAATGAGGGTGCAGTCTGCAGCCTAACAAACAGTGGAACAGGCCTACTTTTTACACTTGGTGGACCATTATTTTGAGATAAGGATGCGGAAAAATCTACTCTTATTCTGAAGGAATTCCGGCGTCTGACTTTCTCTAACCTCTGACTTGACGCAGCTTCGGACGAGGAGGGGCTGAAAGTACGCAACACCCAACGATTGGGTCATAGTTTGAGAGGAACGTCCCGCAGCAGTAGATGGGAGAGATGCGGTCTTCATCCACAAATCATCTCCACCTCGGATTTTCTTCTCCAGCTTGTAAAATCTGCAGCTGGTCGCCAGAGTCCATAAAGGAGACATCAAAACCATTAAAAAAAAGCCTACCCTACACAGCTGAGTCACAGGCTGCAGCCATAAAATTTATAGGCTTAGCATTGAAAGAGGGACTTCTAACCCAACCCTCAGTACTGTTAACAGGGGATGAAAGGAAGAGCAATGGGCCATTCGTCTTCCTGTCCTGCAGCAGCCAAGGTCAAAATCATGCACAAGGTGAGATTCAAGCAGAACAACGCAGCACCCTGGGTATTCAATATGTGCACGGGGCAGAATGGTTTTATACTGCCACACTGCCTGGTGAGCAGGACATACATTCACGTGTCTGTGGTGGATGAACAGAGGAGCAGCAGTTTATCAGCCACTGCGGATGTGATCTGCACTTTGAGAATAAGCATCAGATGCCTTTTAATCCAACATGGGTGCAGAAATGCCTTCAACCTGACACTGAACACTATTTTTATCTGTCTCACACCTACAGGGGGGGGAAAAAATAATCATACCACCTGACATCAGAGGAATACATTTATTGGCTAAATGAGGAAAAACAAAAAAAAAACTGCGCTTTACATTTCATGTGGGTGCTCATTTTGGAAAGCTGTACAAACATCAGGGCTCTTATTCCTCTCTTGATGTGTGAGCTGATGGGGACATTTATTTCATCAGTGGCTTTGACATTAAAAAGCAACAATTTCAGATTCATGCTAGGATAATTTCATGAAAACAGCTGCACACAAGTCCCAAAAAAAAAAAAAAAAAAATAGGCCAACCTTGTTAGTTCTCAGAGCGATTTCATGTATAAAACAGGAAGACATTGTAGAAATGGATGTACATTGAAATATCTACTGCTGTAAATACAATCAGTCATCGAAGATCAGAAAAAAAAAACATCCATATGCAAAGAAAAACAAACAGAAAAATATTTTTTAATAGCTCACAGGCTACATTGTGCACCAACACCACATCTGTGGAATGTTTTTTCCATTTAAAAACTGTACATATTGCAGTTCCTTTCAACCCAAATGCATAATTTGTATTCCTCTGATATAGAAAACAAAAACATTAAAGCATCCCATTTATCCCCGTGTCTTCAAACGCCACAGGCGAGCCGCTACAACTAACACGATTCAAAGGCTGAGGCGTTTGCAGGAAACAAAGCACAAACAAACCAAACTAAAGCCCTTGGTCTGCTGAGGTATGAGTGAAGGGTTTCATTCCAAAACAAACTGTTCATTTAAAAAAAATAATAATAATACAGCCCAAAGTTCATTACTCGAGTAGTAATTCATGTTTCCACACTTTAGATACTTTAAGTGTGAATTTTTGAAATAAAAGAAAATTACATCCCCAAAACACTTCTGTTTATTAACATAAAAACCAATAACACTAATATCTTTGAGCCATTTTGGAATCAGACCCGTTGATTTTAAAAACAAACTTCCCATTCAAAGAGGCAGTGTGTCATCTAAAGGGCGAGGAGGAACTCTTATCAGACGGACGTAAGAGATTTCTCTGTAGAACGGATGATTCACAACCAATGAGAATCACAAAATGACGGCACAGTCTCTGAAAATATCGAATGTTTTCTGGTGAGAAGTGATTACATCATTAAAACGGCAAACGGACCGAGTGCTCCAAGTACTTAATTGGTATTTTGATAGATTTAAGATGAGGAGGAGGTGTGAAGAGGTCACATGGTATTCTGTCAGAGTGCCCTAAAGCAAGACACCTGATACCAGAAGTAAATTTAGGTGACTGCATCAGCCAAACGACTGAATGTGTGTTGACAAAGTCGCTCATTCCGATTTACATCTGACCCACATGATCACTGGAGTCACAGCGCGCACGCACACGCACACACACACACACACACACACACACCCGGCTCCGACGTAAAATACACAATTACACTTAAAACATTGTGATCTACCTGCAGAAAAGCTCATGAAAACAGTCAGGCTAAAGGTGTCTCATTTTTGAAAACAGCTTTAGTGTGTCAACAGAAGTGTTCTCTCTCATGACAAAAACAAAATTGTCAGTTGGTTCTGATATGAAGAAAAACAAATTTCCATGCACAATCTAACAAAACAAATAATTAAAGCCAACAAAATAAAACCAAAGAGCAGGACAGGCTTTAGTCCGAAGTCTACATTATAGAGACTGATAGAGCTAAGATCAGCACAATAGTAAAATCACAAGATGGACACCCCTCAAAACAGAGGTTTTAAACCTGCAGTGTCTCCCCCTATTGGCAGTGAGAGTAATTACACCAACACTAATGACGCATGCTAACGACGTATGCCTCCGATTTAGCATACTGCGAATACAGAGATTTACCTGGCGACGATAAGTTTAAATCAGCACCATGTGAACTCAGTTGGCGAGGGCTTAATGTTCGTTTATATGTGAAAAGTTCAGCACTCAAGCTTAAAAGTTACAACACAGAGCTGAGAGCAACTTTTGCCGTGACAAGTCCAGTTTAGAAAACACCGTGTGCAAATCATGTTTGGATAACACTTGACGAGTACAAAGACGGAGTCCATAGTAAGATTGTTTAGCGAGGGAAGGTTAATCCAGCATTTTTAAAAGGGGAACCCAAGATGGAGCCGTGCGATGATAGATAAATGTCCTCAAGTGATGTCACTTGAGTCAGAGTCAGTTGGATCTGAAGACTAGAAGTTTGAAAAAGAAAAATGATGGGAGGTGTGAAAGAAGTGAGCTCAGCAGACCACTGTACCCTGCTACACTTCTCTGCTGCAGGCTAAAGGCTGCTACAGCGGCTACTAGCATAACACACCCAAACCTCCAACCCAAATGTTGGCAAACTGCATTGTGGGTAATGGAGGCACCTGTTTTGATAAGGAAGAAGAATACAACAAGATGACATATCTGGTTGAGCTGCATCGAGTTTGATCCTTTCTTTGTTAAATTCATGAGTTCTGCGATGTTTTAGGAGGCTAAAGCTAAATCAGCAGAACACTAAAATGTCTTGCTGGACAGTCAGAGCTCAGTCACAAGTATTGATGACTTGACTCGTGTTTCAACAGGAAAGCAGGCGGAAGGAGTTAAAAAATGTGATTTCTCTGCTTCTTCTGCGTTTCATGATTTTTGACTTTTAACATATACCTTGTGGCAGCTATAAATGCAGGCTTCTAGAAAAATATGTTAGCCAGGGCACGAGTCAGATGTGTTTACAACAAGACAGCAGGTTGGTTAGGGCCCCACATGTGACGGTTAACCAGCTAACACGCCGGTCATGTTGACAGACAAAATTAAATCTGTTCAATCCATGAAGTAGTAATTATTTTCCGGCCAAATCCGACGCAGAAATTGTCCACGTCTGTTCTGTACCTGAGACGGCCGAGCAATATGTTTTTAAAACAACAATCAGACAGGAAATATCACTTTATAAAAAGCTTTTTATAAAGTGATATCGGCCAGCTGGTGTGGAGATTCATTTCTACGTAGTTCTTGGCCTTGCAAACCCACTTTGGACTGGCCGGGCTCAGCAGGTATCTGTTCGGTTTAGGGGTGTCGCCAATGGGCAAAAGATTTTGCAGTGCATGACTTTTCCTCTTCATATCTTAAAACCTAACAGCGTGGCACAAAACATGGCAGCGGACCAGAGGTGATCAAACCGACTGATCAAAAAGATTTAAAAAACAAAACAAAAAAACAACAGCTCAGAGAGAGCGCTGGAAAAAAAAACGCTGGTCCATGGCAGCGATACACAGTTCCTCCTCCTACTTGATGATGTAATTTTTTTCCTCTCGTTTTATTTCGATGTGTGATGGTCATTCCAGCGACGAGTAGTGTGATGCTCTTCGTCTATCTCATCTTTCTGACCTCCTCAGAAGTGAGTCTGTTTGTTCCCAGCAGCTTCAGCCTGTTGATACAAACACAGGGAGGAAGTAGTGGCGTTTGTTTGTTTGTTTGTTTGTGTGTGTGTGTGTGTGTGTGTGTGGGGGGGGGGGGGGTCGGTCGGTTGTGCTTAAAGCTTTTATCCAAAGCACATCCCAGAACCATAAGGGTGTATATTTGTGGAGCGAGTAGATCCTCTTTGTGACTCTAGCAGTATTAGTGCCATCACTCTGCACATTCAGCTTCCCTGCTGCTGAATGGGAGAAACGATCACACGCAGAGCGCCTAATAATCAATACCGACTCATGCAGCTGCAAAAACTGTTCATGTGCCGGATGTATACTAAACACTTTCCTGATCTTTAAGTCACAGCCAGCATTTCAATCTTACATCCTCAGAACACAACATGCTCTAGTTGAATAAGAGATGAAGGTCAATACCACTTTAACCATCATTCTGTCATTATGTTCAGTCACTGGGACACAACTGCAGTGTTTAGCCTGAGCTTCTGGACCAATAAACGCAACCGATTCTGCTCCGATCTGAAGCAGTTTACCGGCGGGAGTTTATTTTTTAAATGTTTGGGATTAAAAAGAGGAATTATCTTCACTCTCGCTTCTCGACCCGTGTGCAGCAGCGAGTCACTGATCTCCACTGGTCTCAGGTTACTGTCATTAGTCTCTCTTCGTCCATATTGACTGCTGACTGGAATACACTTACATAATGCACAATCTTCATGAACATACAAAGAGGACAGGGGAGAAAAGAAGAGAGACTGGAAGGAAATAACAGAAAAAATAAGCAACACATAGCCCTGATATCTAAACTCCATTCAGAAAATAAGCATTTTAAAATGTGTTTGCTTGTCGTCTTGCAGACAGACCTGCATTGTTATTACCAGCGTTATTGCTTCTGGGCTTGTACTGCTGCAGTAAACCAGATTATAAAAGGCAAATATTTACTGCGGTCAAACTCACGCAAGTAACGGAAGGCAAAAATTCACTTAATTTTTGGTGTGAACACAACATAAGAAAGGACGAATCAATCGATCAAAGGGCACACTGGTGGGAATACAGGTTGGGGAGCTGAACATGAACAGCAACATCCTCTAAATATGAAGCTACAGCCAGCAGCCGGCTAACTTAGCTTAGCATAAAGACTGGAAACAGGGAAACAGGTCTGGCACGGAAAATTGGTTTGCTCACTGTAGCGTCATGTTTAGCATGCAGACATGAGTGGTTTCACTCTGAAATTTGTTTTCATAATAACAGAGAGTAGAGACTCATGTGAAAGTGGACCTGTAAACTCTGCTGAAAGTACCCATTATTTACTTTTGGATGAAATTAGTGGAGGGTAATTCGTTTTTTTCTTTGACACAAACACCACATCTTTGTTTTCTGAATTTGGACAGCGCTGGCCGCAAGAAAACCATAAAAGTTTTAGTGGGGTGTTTGCAGGTAATTGAGTGATTCACGTCATTCATCTCCATCCACAGTCTGAAACTCCACTGTGGAGTCTCCCAAACATCACAGGATTTAATTCGATTAGCCTTCAAACGGTCTCCGTTCTGTCTGCCCTATCATCTGTCCAGCAGGCTGCAGCTCATTTCCTCTGAAAAGCCTTTTAAGTACTTAATTGTGCCTCTAATTTTCCTGGTTTCCTGATCTCCACCCTGACACCAACAAAGGCAGTACCACAGTCACACAATTACATCAAGAAGTGTACATGCACACACACTCACTATGCCCACATGAGATCATCTGACTTCTGCTGTTCATCACAAATGAGTCATCAGGAGAAGCATAAATGCAATCAGAGTGGCTTTTAGACCGAAGAACAAAAGACAGCAATCTTTCATCACAATTAAACATTTCCATGTTCTACTGAACATCAAAAATGAAGAATTAAAAGAATTTCAACATGTTTCAGCCACAAGTCTTTGTTAGAGAGTGAGTAAACAACAGACTGAAGTACTGGAGAGAAAAATGAAGACTCAACTGGACCCAGGTTGCAGAACAGACTACATACAGATGGAAGAGATGACAGCTCAGCTGGTGGCTGGCTGCAAATTAGGTCATATACTGTAATACCGTGACTCCAACCACGACCACCACTGCGTACACTGGCCCCAAATGATCAGATTCATATTCTGCTGTTTGATTAATCTATTAATTGTTTCAGCTCCTCTTACTACTGCAGCTATTATAAAAGAGTCCAAACAACCACAAACCAAGAGGCAACGCTGAAGTGCCAAAAGCTGCAGTTCATTAACTGGCTACTTGAGGCTGGCTTCAAAACAGAGTGGATCTTCACAGACCTCCCATGTTAAACTGCAAAAATAAACATGTTTAAAGTCCGGTACAAACAACGTTTTGGTCTCTATAGCAAATTTCTCTGTTTATAACAACTGTACCGGGGATGAATTTTTATTTAACTGACCCGTTAATATTATATTAAAGGCTCAACGTTCGTAAAAAGCACTACCAAGCCGATTCTTCAGAAGGTCACGGACACTACTTCCATGTTTTATACAGTCTATGCCACAAACCAACTTTTATCATGTGATTGTTTAAACTCTTCTAGCATCCATTTGACCTTTTAAGAGCAACCTCCGTTTGTGGCCACTGGTTCTTCTTCAATATCCTGTATGTTCTCTATCTAAATTTTTTTTTAAACTCTCTAATGGAGACATGAGGCTTAAATGTGTCAACTTCACTTTAATTCTCAATTTTAATGTTAGTGACAACCATGGAGGATCACAGGAGGCATTTTTAAAGTGTACTGAAAGAGTAATTTAGTCCTTTTTGGATTCTATTTTCTGATGTTTTTAACGGTGTGAATCTAGGTAGAGCATCCAACTAACTTCTCACTGGATTCTCACACTATGGCAAGCAGCAGGAACAAGTTTATCTAAAATTATTGTTATTCAAAACTTAGCCATTAGCCAAAGTGGAAACACCACAGCCACGAGCTAAATGGCTCTAACGAGACCATCTAATGACTGGACTTCCTCTGTGGTTTATTCACTTAGCTCACTTTTAACCTGCTGTGTGCAGAAATTAAAGATGGACACACAGATTGTGTGGAGATGTTGCTCAATGGAGGATAGAAAAACACTGATTCTAACCAAAGTGAGTGGTTCCTATTACCATGGTGCAACTCCCATGCTGTAAATGTACATTCTTGGTACCATGATGTGCTTTGGATCCAAGTATTCACCAAGTGACAATATCGTGTGGTATTATCTTCGGGAAGAACGGCTTCACAGCCATTAAGTATTTCATCAGTGGAGATGAAATAACCATGATAGGTCTCTCTAGAAACAAATAATTACGACTTAATATTTTAAGTATTTGTATTTTACACACTTTATAGTCAACTGTTAAAACCTGTAAACTTTATTTCCCTACATGATGGTGTGATGCGAATACCGAATCATTTATCATTCATTCATTTTTGTGGAAGTGACATTAAAAAAAAAAAAAAAAAAAACACTCTTTAAGTAACCATGGCAATTAAAATAGTCAGTGACGCCATGCAGAGAAACCAGTTAAAAAGGTCAACTTAAAGGTTATGCAGGGAGCAGATTTAAGTAACATTCATGGCAAACAGGAACTGGAATCTCTCTCCAAGCACTGCTAGTTTGACTGGCAACAACAGTGTGATCGTTTCTTTTACCTATTTGAGCCAATCTTTCCAAGAGTCTTCAGTCAAGAGGCTTCAGTACAATTTCAACCTCGACCCCGGCTCTTATGTAACTATCAGAAAGTAATTACCACATCATAGCCTAATGTCAGATTTTAATGTGTATTTTTCCATGTTTCGCCATTTCAGTTTGTGTTTTCTGGTCAGAAGTAAAACCAAACAGACGCATATTTTGCATGTAATCTGTAATATGTTTATAGCGGTTAGTTTGCTGTCCAGGTAGAGTGAACTAGAGCGTGTTGTTGATACTCTGATAATGCTAATCCAACACATCTTTGTAGTAGCGTCCATGTTGATTCCACATTCAGACTTAAGAGAACACGTGAATGCACCGTGAGCCACTGGTTGCAATTCGCAACCCTCAGTCACCACTAGATGTCACTAAAAGTTATACACTTAGCTTTTAATGATACCTCTCCCTGGTTGCAGATTAATTCAATAGTTGAAAACGAATCGATTAATAATTGCAGCTCTATTCAGAATCACTTCCAGGACTGTCACTGACTGTGAACCTTGTACTAGAAACACGCTTACCACCATTTCCTGTCCTTTCCTAACCGGTTAGGACACCTCTGGTTGCGCCTAAATATTGAACAAAGATAAGAGTGATTTCCTAAGTTAAGAAGTTATGGTGGCGTTTTAAGTAGTCGCAGTTACTCATAGGGCTGGTGATATGGCCAAAAATGTAATCACAATAAAAACATTTCAAATCATTCGATATCGATAATTATCACGATAAATGTCAAATTGTTATTTCTTTCAAGTTTAAAGGCTGATTTTTGCTCCTGACTGAAAATAGAAGAAACCAGATTGTTAATTATGTGGTTACAGTGGATCACTTAACAAATCTGAGGGAGAATATTCAAAATTATGATTAAAAAAAACAAACAAACATTTTAACAAATATGATGAGCAAATCTTTCAGTCCCTTTTCCTCAACAAAATAAAATATTTTAATAGAAAAATTAAGTGCTAATTTGTTTGTGATTCAAATGAATTAAACCAAATATTAATTGACTAGATATATTGAATATTTATTACACTGATGGGGAGGAAAATTATATTGCGATAGTTATCATTGTTTTATTGCGCAGCCCTAGTTACACCTCCTCTGTTGCTAATTCTGAAGTTTATACTATCTAAATAATCAACCACAGTAAAAAAAACAAACAAAAAAAACAAGTTGATAAAAAAAAAAAACTCTTTTACTCCTGGTCGTACAAGCCGCACCATAAATACATCACTCTTTGGACATGTTTCCTACTCAGATGCTTTATTAATACGGCCCCGATTTGTGAATGCATCGCCAAGTTCTCATTTGGCTCTGCTCAGATACATGTTGTCATCCATGCTGGCTGAGACATCACCCTCACAACCTGTGTGCTATCCAAAGTCTAGATTTGTTCAGGACATTCAAAAGGTAATTCTTGCCAGCTAACACATTAGCAGCTAACTCCCTGAGTCCTAAACATAACAGGTTAACCTCCTCGTTGGACCTGGATACAGCAGTATATTAAGTAGCATTTATGAGCGTAAAACGTCTCATTAGGCAATGATGTAGCTTTACCTGATGATATTAAAAACGCATGGTAGTTGTTTTGGTTTGTTTGTAAGGCAGTTTAGAAGCTTTAGCTTGAGATTCTAGTTCCCAAGATGCCATAAATGTCCAGAAAACAGATTACACACAGCAAAGACTCACATTTTAAACCGATTCCTCTCATTCTCACTCCTCAGAGGTAACAAATCTGTTATTTGATTAAAAAAAACTCGCATTAACACCTGGAAAAATGAATGAGTGAGAATGAGAGGCATCACACCAAGGTTCGGTAATGCAGGCAGCATGCCATGCATCGCTGTCTGCATTTCATCACAGCCACAAAAGGGAAAAGGTTTTACACGAGGAGGAAGATGAAATCAGGAGGAGGAAGGAGAGGGGCAGTATACACCACACGGGAGTAAATACAACAAACACCATAACAGGAGCTGCAGTTAGTACTTTCAGTCCATCACAAGAGGAGCAGGAAGACAGCCAGGAGGAGTTTCAAACATGAAGTGGGGTCCTGATTGGTTGCAGGAGGCAGTGGCGCTCTGGCAGGCTTGTGTCACATCCAAAAAACAGGCAAAATGCTGCTCTTGTGTGCGAGTGTATAAATATATATTTGGATTTGTCATGCCACCAAACAGCTCCCACCATTATTTATTTAGATGTGGAAGGAACAGAAATAAGCAAGGCAAGAGTGAGCGAGAGAACCATAACAAGGGGGATGAAGATGACGAAACCAACACAAGCACAAAAATAAAGAGAGAGAGTGAAGCGTCGTTAGAAGTGCGATTTCTTACAGAAAGTCACAGTCTCAAAGTCACTGATATGGACCGCACCTGAGGACGTTTGCTCCGAGGACTCCACTGTTTCTGCTGGCGGGGCAGCTTCGGTCCCAGCGGGCGACGAGTCGTCATCGTTCCCTCCTGCTGGTTCCTCCAGGACGGCTGGAGAGGGAGGGGTGTCCAGTTTGTCTGCTGTCAGAGAGAAAAACATTTCAATGTCTGACCTATTCAGTTGACCCCTTTAATATGTTTTACTTACTCAAAAAATATAATAAATGTTTGTACTCTGAGGGAATTTTGGGTAAACTCACTGAATTTAATTTTTTGCCATGCTAGCAGTCTGACTCTGGGGACAGCAAGGTTGGTCTGTTGGTCCAGAGCAACTCTGAACTCTGACTGATATATGTCTCCACAGCTATTGAATGAATTTCCATGAAATTCTCTCCAGACATTCATGGTGCCCAGAAGATGAATCCTACCTGCTCACTCTCCTCTAGTGATACCATGACGCCGACATTTGTGGTTCAGAGTGTAATGTCTCAACAACTTTTGGATGGATTGCCATGAAATCTGGTCCCCCTCAGAATGAACTATAATAACTTTAGTGGTCCCTTAACTTCTCCTCTAGCTGGCTTGTTTGCTCACTTGATCTCTATTCAATAAATAAAAAAAAATGTGGGTGCAATCCCTGGAGCTTTCTCAGCCGCCATTTTCACAAGTTTGAAAATAGGTTAGTGCCCCCTCCATTTCCGCAAAGTAGCCAAAATGGCGACTGTAGAGGGTGAAAAGTGTCCAGCATTCCACACTCAACTTCTTGACCGCTATGAGTATACCATCCGGACAATATTCACTGCGCACTGCTTTTTGCCATACTGGGTCGGTGTGAACGCACTTAAGCACTCATGGAAGAATTAAGGCAAAGCATTAGTCTTGTTTTTTGAGGTTTTTATCACCTTGTGATGGAGCAGCAGGTGTATCTTGGTCCATTGTAACGGGGACGGGGACAGAAATCTCAGAAAGGGCTGGGGCAGAAAAATCAGAGGGGGCGGGGTGAGGAACCTCAGACGGGGCAGGGTCAGATGGCGGTGCAGCAGGGGAGTCTGCGGGGACGGACTCTTGTTCTGACACTATCACAGTCTGCTGGGCTTTAGTCTTTTCTGAAGGAGAGGCAACATCTACAGCTGATCAGCGAAGACAGAGAGGGAAGAAAGCAGAGGGGTGAGGGTGGAGAGAGTGACAAAGAAAAAGAGATCAGACAAGATAAGACGACAGCGACAATCGAGCAGAGAAAAGACACAAAATCAAAAGAGGCAGAAGAAGAGAGCTACATTTCAAACAGTATTTTCCTTTTCCGGCCAACGTTCTGCCCTGACATTGAGACAAGTCCAGGAGACTCATCAGAGAAGGAACAGAGAGAGTGATCGAGAGGAGAGACTGACATCGACAAACAGTGAGCAGGGTGATCCCGCCACTGACAGAACAACAGTTTAGTTATCACTGGATTCTGATTTTGTCACCACCTTATACAGTATAATATTACCACACTGGCACGATGTCACCTCACTCAACCAGAAGGCCCAGCAGAGGATTTACTTCCTGCGGCAGCTGAAGAAGTTCAGCCTGCAAAAGACAATGATGGTGCACTTCTACACCGCCATCATTGAGTCCATCATCATCATCATCATCATCTGGTACGCTGCTGCCACTGCCTGGGACAAGGGCAGGCTGCAGCGTATCATTTGCTCTGCAGAGAAGGTGACTGCTTGTCACCTTCCATCTCTTCAGGACCTGCACGCCTCCAGGGCTCTGAGGTGAGCAGGAAAGATTGACCCCTCCCACCCTGGACACAAACTGTTTTAGACGCACCCTTCTGGCAGGAGGCTGCGGTCCATCAGGACCAAAACCTTTCGCCACAAGAACAGTTTCTTTCCGATTGCATTGGGCTTCCTCAACAAGGCCCGGGTCCCCACTGTCACTTTTGGCATCCAAAAGTGTCCTTGGGCAAGACACTGAACCTGCTGTTCAGCATGTAGGGGTCAATCAATCACCCATAATTGTAAATTGGTAATCATTTCCTCGACACTATTTAAAAGTTTAAACTACAAATTGGGAAAGTGGGATGAACAGAAAATATGATACAACTTCTGGCAGCATGTTGGCTAAGTTGTTTCTGACAGTTAATTTACAGTTATGGGATTTGACTTTAGATTCGACTGTCATTTCACTTAAAATATGAACCATTTGAAACTCAACAGCGGGAACAGGGGCAGAGATCAAAAGGATTGCCAAGCAAGGGTCGCACATTTCATCATTTTAACGGAAAAATATCATTTATATCATATATAAAATATGATTTATGTTATTTAATACATTATAAACTTGTTTTCTTGCCAGATTCGCACACCGGAAAAATTAGGACAGACACCGAAACTATCGCTGCAGATCGGCAGTCTTATTTATTTTCTACTTTGATAAGTTTAGTTTAAACTATAGTGGAGGCTGTGAGGCTCAGGTCCCGTCTGTTTGACAGAAACTAGAAGTTACTCGACTTCCTCCTGGATCAATATTCAACATATACGTTTAAAATCTATCTATAATCTTGTTTATTGATTGTCCAGGACAGATGACAGAACTGCAGAAGAATCTGCAGCTGTACGACTCCACATGGGAAAACACAGACTACACTGAAGGGTAAGATGCTCTCTGTGATCCTACCTGTATCCTCCCCTTTCAGTGGCTCAGGAGGTTCAGCGGAGCTGGCAACTTGGCTCTGCATCTCCTCCTGCTGCTGCTGCTCCTCCTGCTGCTCCTCCTCCTTCTTCTGGGGCGGGCTGGCCTCCACGCTGGCGGGTTTTAGTGGGCTCTCGCCTCCCATGCTGCTCCGGGGCGACAGCATCTCCATCTCTTCCGCCCAGTCTGTTACAGGCTTGTGGCCCTCCAACGACAGGAAGGGGCTGAGGGGCTTGCCTCCCTCTGGTGACTCCTGAACTGCTTCCGGCGGGGGGATGTGGACCTTTGGTCTGGGGGGGCGCTGTTCTTTGGGGCTTCCTGCTGATGTCGACCGAGAACGAGGTGCACGAGATGTCGGCGAGTTGTATTTGCTCGTGACTGGTTTCTCTTTCCCCTTGTCTTTCTTCTCATCACCCCTGGAGTCGTGTTCTGAGTCGCTCCCTTCCTCCACTTCTTCGTCGTCTTCTCCATCGCTTGCATCTTCCCATTCCTCGTCGTCATCCTCTCCATCTCCGTCCTTCTCCACCTGAGAAAAGATACAAGGAACGGTTTACATGGAAAGTAACTGAAAAGTGTTTTGGATTGCTGTTGAAATTTGTCTGGAAGCACTCGACGACACAAATAATGAAATATACACAATACACTCAGGGGTTAAAGTTATACATTGTACCATATGGAGACCATACCATCACACAGAAGCTAGAGCATCTGTCTCCCTTGAATATTTAGTACAGTACATTTATTCATTTAGCTTTTATCCAAAGCGACATACAATTGTTATATATGTCAGAGGTCACACACCTCTGGAGCAACTAGGGGTTAAGTTCTTGCTCAGAGACACATTGGTGTCTCACAGTGGATTTGAACCCGGGTCTCTCACACCAAAAGCATGTGTCTTATCCACTGCTCCATCACCACCCCCCATGATACATGATAGCCAAAACAGAAGAGTAGCGGGCCGTTAAAAACCAAACCAATGAACAGAGGGGAACAGCAGGGTCGAGTGATAATTCTCTGTGGGTTCACCACTGCGAGCAAATTGTTTCATTACATTTACTCATTTGGTGCTTTTATCCAAAGCGACTTACGTTTGGAAGAAAAACATACAAGCATCAGTAAAGTGCAAGAACTACGAGTAACAATAGATACGACTGAGTGCAGCAATAATACTTGTAAGAGCTATTAACGCATACTGGATCAGTGGGGTAAATACCTAGGGGAAGCAATAAGAGCAGTCATACAAGTAGACATATGGTCCATTAATAAAACAAATATTGATAATAGCTGTTATAAGTGCATTAATTATCTACTCTAAAGCAATTTCAAAGGAATTCTCTTTCCAGCAAGACTGTTAAGGAAATGTATATCAAACGAGACCAGTGTGGGTTTGACTCTCATTAATACTGGTGAGGCTGATTGCATTATTAATCCAGATAAAGCCCCTTTACCTTCTGCGCTGTGGGAGGTTTGGATTGTTCTTCCTCCTTCTCCTTGGGTTTAGTCTTCTCCTCGGGTTTAGTCTTCTCCTCTCGCTTCGTCTTGTCCTCTTTTTCCTTGTCCTCTTCTTCTTTGTCTCCTTCCCAGCGGTTGTCATGCATGCTGTCAAAAGTCATCCAGTTATGTCAGAGGTTCAATGCACAGCAAACACCAAACTCACAAATAACCATTAACAAACAAAGATACTAGTCTCTCCAGAAACACACATCACTACATTTTACAGAGTCTACTGAATATTATAAATGAAAGGAAGAACATGTTCCTAAAAAAAACAACAACATTAGACTGCAATGATAGCAACAACATTTGAGACCATTAATACGTATGGAAAACATCCAATGTTACAGTGACTCAGTGGGAGTAAAACAATAAACTAGTTTGCTTGCCAATACCCAGAATCCCCTGATGCAGTGTACCAGATTCCAAATAACAGAAACAATAAATAGAAACTGCCATGAATAAATCAATCTTGAAAATAATAATTATAAACACCAGTAAGTACTGTCTCCTATAAAACAGCTCTGGTGTTGATTATGAACTACAGAAACAACTTCAACATCCTATAAGCTGTACAGTAGACCTAGTTAAGCATAAACTGAAACAATCTGGGGATACACGGTAAAGGAGAGGCTATCTCGCTCAGATTTACCTGTAGCTTGGTTTCTGTCCTCGGCCCCTCCCTCTGCCCCGGTCCCCTCGTGGCCCCTGCGTAGTGCCCTGGGACAAGAAGTCGCCAAATGTCGGCGCTTTAGGAGGGCGTTTATTGTCGTCTGCAGGAAATATTGATGGAGAGAGTAAATCAAGAGGTTTTGTTATACTTGATTTAAGGTAGGGTGAATCAGAGAAGAGAGGGACTGAAAGATGACAAGCCAGACAGTAGACGTGTGTTTTTTGTTTTCACAGTTTGCTTCTTAAAATGCGGAGTGATCAAGCTCATTTAACTAGCAGCAAGTCATACATAAGACCAAATTTGAGATCAAAACATACAGTTATAAGGCAAAAAAAAATGACAACAATACTTTTTGTGCACAAAATTGACGTCATACAAACTATGTACCATATTAATCCAAGAGCGGTGTCCTCCAATACATGCATTTAAGAAATCTAAACAAGTATTTAGTACAAACAAAAACTGTCTATTCCTGCCCCTGTCTGCTGCTGCTGCAGACTGAGAGTTGACATCTTATGTAACATCAGAGTCGAGACTTGTGTGACAGCGACTGTCCTGCAGTGTCAAACTGCTGCAGAGACTATCTGAACTCTGGGACAAGGTCAAAGGCATTTTTGTTAGCTAGTTGGTGATGGATGGCTCAGAGTGGGAGGGAAGGAGAAAATAAAAAGAGCTAAAGACTGACTTTGATGATGCGGTGTGTAACAGAAAACACATATTTTTAAGACCCCCTGGGGCAACCATTACAATTATACAAATGCTTAAACAGAGCACAAACATATGCTGTGCCCAAATGAACGCCAGAATAGACTCTGCAATTTCAACATGAAAAGTGTCAAGTACACAACATGCGTAGTCGACACTGCCTTGTTCTTTTTTAAGACGTGTTTAATGATTTTGTTTTTATGTAAAAATCATGATTAGGAACGACAAAAGAAGAGAGAGGAAAAAACTGATGAAAAAATGAGCAAGCGTCAACTCCTGAGGTTTTAAAATCTTAACTTCTTATACCCTCTTAAAGTAATTTAATTTTAGTCACTGTGTGTAACAGAGGGAAAGACAATTCGATTTGGACGAAAATGAGAGAGCAATACCGTTAGAAGATGGGAAAGAAAAGATGCTAGTATGGAAGGGATGTGACGCAGAAAGGAAATGATTATAGGTGGAAGGTGAAGTAAATAAAAAACAGCCAAAGTGAAGAAATAGGACTGACGAGCAGCTGGTGGAGGGAAGCAGGAGACAGAAAGAGGAAAGAAAAGTACAGAGGTGTGAAGTAATAAGAAAACAGTCAAAATTAAGGAAAGCTGTGAGAGGAGAGGAGGGAGGGAAGAAGAGAGAGAAGGTCAGACACTGAAAGCTTCAACAGGGGAGGAGGCAGGAGGATAAGAGCTTGAAGGGGAGCATGTGATAAAAAAAGGTCAGAAAGAGAAACATCTAAGTACAAAAGAAATGAAGGGATCAGTGAGGAGAAAAGAGAGGATGAAGATGAAGAGATTGAACTGAGCAGCCTGGGGCCGTGAAGAGGACATTGGAGTCATTCCAGAAATTAGAAATGGCAAAGAAAAAAGAAACACACACACACCCACACACACACACCCACCCACCCCGAGTGCAGGCCTTAATGTGCGGCAGGTGTAATGACATAATCTATAATATACTCTCCCTTTATACTTGGATTAAAGAAATGAAAGAAACCAGGACTGAACAGCAGTTAGAAATAATCTTCCGCTTTTGTTTGAACCTTCTCACAGTACAGACTGATGGAAGATTTGACTGATGACTGCGACTGGTGATTTGACTTTCCAGTGGATCTGTAGCCACAGAAGAGGCAAACATCACCCACAGGGCACTCAGGGAAGGCAACACAAACACTAAGAACTGTTTACAAACCCTGTTTGACATCCTGAGGTTGCTGTGTGTGCAGAAAGAAGCTTCTGAAGTGCTGCCAGCCTCAGGAAAAGATTAGCACATCCTTACAGATGCTCACCCAATTCCAAAGCAAAACCCCAAGAAGGGCTGGACTCTGAGGTCAACCCTCTACTTTCAGTCTGTACGGCCGCGGTACTAGCTAACTGATTTTAGTGACGCAAATGGCTAAAATCTAGGTCTATGGAGATTAATGCACAGAGCAAGGCACTTTTGTAAGAGCCTTTTAGACTAATACACAGACCTATTAGAAAACCATTAAAGAAAAACAACCAAAAAATGGCACTAACGTTAGACAGAAAGAAAACATGTAAATAAACGAGGACTTCCTGTGAAAACATAGTGTGTTTGGCCAAATGTTAAGCACTTGATATATGTTCTCTATGCATTTGACATTGGATGTGAAACCTTAAATGAAGCCATACACATGGTGAGCCAGAACTAGGACTGGGCGATATGGCCGAAACTTTTATCACAATAAAAAAATAAAAAAATAAAAAAGTTTCATTCTAGTCTATAAATGTCAAATCATCATTTCTTTCAAGTTTAAAGGCTGATTTTTGCTCCCGAGTGAAAATTGAAGAAACCAGATGGTTAATTGTGTGATTAAACTTTTCTTTATTGTCAGAACGTGACAAACACTTGACACCAAACTGTGGAGTCTGCGGTAAAACATGCAGAACTATCATGATAAAATCCTTCTTCAAAAAAATAGTTGAATAGATTAGTAAATCTTTTTAGTTCCCTTTAAAAACAAAAAATAAAGTGCTAATTTGTTTGTGATTCAAATTAATCAAACATTTGTTATATTGTTATAGACAAAAAAACTATATGGCAATAATTATCATTATTGATTTATTGCCCATCCCTAGACAGAACTACAATTAAATAATATTTTGACAGCATACTGCGTCAATGATAAGATAACTACAAGGGTTTTTGTTTTTTTAAAGAGTCAGGGGTGAGTTTGGTTTTGGGAGCAGCTGTTGATCCGTTTCACACAAACGGAAAAACACACAGACACACAGATCTCAGTCTCATGCCGTGGTCTAACCTGAGGCCCTGCCCCGAGGCTCTGTACAAGAGTTACGCCCCCGGGCTGCAGAGAGGACACAAACACATTACAGTACATTCACCACATACACAGATACAAATGTCCGTGAAATAAATCAAAGACATCATAACCATGAAAACATTATTCCTGCTTCTAACCCAAAACATTTCACAAGTGAGGCAAATGTATGCATGCACTGAGATGAATGGCGTAAAGGCTGCTAAGATCTGTCTGACCACTTCTTGTCTGATCAAGTCTTCCTACCTTTTAAAACGTTTATCGATCTTTGTTTATAGTCTACATAGCAGTTTTTATTTTACTCAAAGCTATCATAATTAATTCATTGCAATTATTTAACTATTTTCCTGCATTAAAGCCTTACTTTGACACTGTACCTGTCAAAACACAGTTCCAGTTTACATAACACTTACTTTAAATGTACACACATATAAAAATGAAAACAAAATATTTCTGCACCTGATCAAGTGGAAGTCAAAACTGTGATGCAATTATTTTATGATTATGATAAATTAGAAAAAAAGAAAACAAAGCCCAGTCTGGAGAACAGGTGTGCTATTTTTTAGGTCAGGACACCTTTTTATTCCACCTACACTGAGCTACTACAGAAAAAAAAACACCTTCTTAGTAATTCCCTCTAAATTCCTTTTTTATTTTTACCTTTAATAGTTTAACATCGAGTTGTGTCCCTGAATGTGCACAAGTACCAAATAACCAGCAGCAAGGAAGAGCAGCATTAAAGATGCACTCGACCAGATTTTGACCCGTTGTGCTGCTCTGCGTCTGATGTTGTTACATTTGTGCACAGCCACGTCCTGGGATCATCGCAGTCTCGCAGTAAATCATTTTATCATCCGGATGACTGACTAACTGAAAATGCATGAGCAAAATTAAGCCATAAAGCTCCCCTGCTGACACCGTCAGGAGACAACATCAGAAGGACTAAAATGTTACTGCTGTTAATGTCGGTTTTCATAACCAATTGTTATTTGTTTTTAATTAAAGCCAAATATACGCACACTAATATTTGCTTGTGTTCAGATTCAAATTAATAACTTAATTAATCCCCAACAGAGCAGTTTAAAACATATACATATCAGACACAAGCATAACATTTTTGGTGGAGTTTTGGCTCCAGGTCAGATAAGTCATGACTTTTAAGACATTCCTTTGGGTATTACTCGTCTACTTGTTTCTTTTACATTCCCGTCACTGAAAGACGTTAGCAGTCCATAAAAGGAAAACTGGGGTCCTTCTGAAGGCACCTCTCAGATCAGCGCAACCGCGGCTTAAGAGGTTGATCTGGACTCCAGGGAAATACAGCAAGCATTTACATAACGAACCTAATCAACTCATTTACATAACGGCCTTAATCAGCTAGAGGAGGGAGGCGTCGTCGTGTCCTGTGATGTGTGTTTGGTGTTTACGATGTGTGTATGTAATGACTTTATGTCTGAAGAGCAGTGACATGTGATGGGGGTGGATTGAAGGACTGCTGCTGTCCTCGACCTGCCAGCTGTTGTGTAACCACAGCAACAGCACACTAGTAGAGAGTGTGTGTGTGTGTGTGTGTGTGTGTGTGTGTGTTTTTGCACTTGCCTCTCCTGCTGCCCTGCTCGGGTGCGATGCCCTCTGCAGCTGCATATGGGTCCTCCTTGAACCTGTGAAAAAAGCCGCAGGGTTAGACACATACACATCGGATATCAGCGCTCCCAGTCTGAGCGCCTGTCAGTTGCAATAAAGATGACGACAAACACTTTCTATCACTAAACACTCGTATGCTGTATTTGCTTTGTTTAGGTTTAATTCTTGAGCTCATCGGTTTAGTGTCGGACCACAGCTTAGTTTTACATGCATTATTTAAACTGCATCCATTTGAATCTCCGCTAAACTTGACATGAGAACTGTTTCAGTGCTTGAACACAGTGGCACTGCTGATTGAAGTAAACAAATATGTTGATTAATTGGTAATAATAATAATCGTTAGTTGAAGCTGCCATAGAGCAAGTAAATCTCGAACTACTCTGGACTGCAATGCATTTCAAGCTCTTCCTCAGGCGGCATCACAGAAATCTAGTTTGAGGTCTCCTCTCACATGTTCTCATTCTTCTGTGCGTCCCACTCTCGTCTCCACTGGCCTGTGGCGTTACGATGGCGTGCCAGTCGCTCCTCGTCAATCTGCTCACGCTCCTTCTTCCAGCGCAGGTACTCTGCTCTCTCCCGGCCGGTCATTGACATGGTCATGTCTACAGACCCTTTCGGACCAGGCCTTCGACTCTACAGAGACAGGAAGGGTGAGGGAAATTAATAATGCTACAGTAGGAAGTAAAAACATTTAAAAAAGGTCAAAATCAAACACGGTTTGGTTGCTAATGTAGAACTAAACCTCCTGAATCTAGTTCTTAAACAATGACATGACTCACGGTCCACTCTTTCTCCAGTTCGGCTCCTGTCTTCACGTTGTCAAAGTCCAGTCCTCCCCAGTTTCGTACATGTCTCCTGCTGCCCTCCTTGCGGTCTATGTCTGGCGCCGGTCCTGAACGTCTCGGGTCGTCCAGGAAGTTACGGCTCGGCTTGTCTGCATCCGGCTAAAGAGAGGAATTCAAAATGTAACACTCTGTCACATTTGACAAGTCCTCTATGTTCATTAAGATGCTATGGTTAAAATGTTTAAGCCTAACTAAAGCCAAGTTAGTTCCCAAACCACAATTCATAAAGCTAATAATTTGTACACAGGGACAGATAAGACGTCACTACAAACTAGCACTTTTTAGGGGTGAGAAGGGGAAATATGATCTATTTTAGTAGTAAGAAAAAGTAATAAAGAACAATATTGTGATTGGTGGTTCGCTGTGCATGTGTGTCACTCACTAGCAACAAACTGTGTATTTCAAATCAGAGTAAATTGCATTACATCAGACAGACTTCTGTTGTTGATTGGTCATGCAAAATGAGAACTGTGTGAGTTTTCCTTATGTATCAAGCAGCAAAAAAGGTTGAGGTGCTTGAGTTAACTGGACTTGCTTGACATCACACATCCTGCTATGACGATGCTGAAACAATATATTGTGCAGCCCTAATTCTTATAGAGTACTAGATACACAAAAATGTGGTGTTTTTTGTTTTTGAAATCTGGAATCGCACAATTTATTCTTAAATTATGAGTAAAATCAGTTCATCCTTGAGTCCAAGTGGACGTTTGTGCTAAATTCAAAGAAATTCCCTCAAGGCGTTCGGAGATATCACATTCACGAGAATGAGACGGAGGGACAGTCAACCTTGAAAACAAAAACAGGATACCTGCTGTCCTCTCTCATATGCTGCTATTCTCTCCATTTCTTCATTCATCTTCTCAATGTTCTGCCGCCTCTTCTCCTCCCATTCCTGTCCAAACAACAACAACGACAACACGGTGGTATCGCAATTCAGTATTTGACAAATACAGGACATTAGCGCTGGCATTCAGACAGAAAACAGCCATTCACGTTACAAAGATATCCACCGGCAATCTGCGGCGGATAACCTTGCTTTGTTTTGCGGTAAAAGTTGAGCCAGGTTTAAGTTTTCTGCAGGGCTAATGTTGGTCTGAATGCAGCCAACACCCTCTCAGGTGCACTCATGAAGCAGGCTTTCATCGTAAAAAAATAAAATAAAAACCCGCACACAACAGGTATACCAGAAGATTTACATAAAACAATCTAATTCATATCAGTCAATAAAGTTCAGCAGCTTAGTTTAGTAATTCATCTGCACTCACCTTGGATTTCTTGTCCATGCCACCTGGTGTCCCCATTCCTTCTCCTCCGCCTCCTCCTCCTCCTCTTCCTCCCCTTCCACCTCCTCCATCTCCTCCATCTCCCGCCGCTCCCCCTCCCCCTCTTCCTCCCCTTCCTTCTCCTCCTCTTCCTCCTCCTCCTCTTCCTCTCCTTCCTCCTCTGCGTCCCTGTCCTCCTGACTCCCCAGGTTCTCCATCTCTGGGTGTTCTAGGTTCCCATTCTCTCCTCTCCTGGCGGCTTCCTCCTCCTCCTCCTCCTCTCTGACCTCCTCGACCCATTCGCCCCGACCCAGTCCTCCTGGGGGGGCTGTGGCCGTCGCTCTGCCCCCTGTGGCCGTCGCTCTGCCCTCCATGGCCTTCACTCTCCTCTGACGTCTTCCGACCGCGAGGCGCTCCAGTTTTCCATTCATTCACAACTCTCTTCTCCTGCAGGAAACACACTGTAATTACACTACAGACGACACTTTAAGTCAGTTAATGAAAGCAATATTAACCCTAACAATAAACATAATATTTGGCTGGTTCCAGCGTTTACTCCTCAGCGCTGATGCTTGCTTTGGATCTCATAACCAGAAATCATTGACTGAAGGTAATTTTCTATTGTACTATTTAGACTGCAATTTTATTGATTTTAGTATCTAGCACTTTTCCCACTGAGGTTTTGTGGATGTGCAGATGATTTCTTGATCACATTCTATTATCTTTGGCTGTTAATAAAGTGATTAAGGTTTATTGAGTTCTGAAAATACAGCAGCCAGTTGCCCAACTGGGAAATAAAACATTTCCTGTCCTGAATTAAACCCTTTTAATTTAAACAGCTTCAGTCTGAATCTGAAGAATTGACGCCATACAAAAAGTACAAAAGCCCTATCAGGGCTATGGATTATGAAAAACTACAAGATGAACTCAGAGACTGAGATGAGCAAGAGAGGGAGATGCAGCAGCAGTTAATCACTTTTTCAAGGAGCTATTTAAGCACAGGGATCAGTAGTCTGTTGTCAAGCTTTAGAAAAGGTTTAACGGACTAATGAACCAATTTTGACCTTTTGACCCAGAATCAATATCCAGTCAGACAAGTACAAATGTGGAGCAGATGCAGAGCTTGTTTGTGTTATTTAATTTGTTGTCTAAAGAGTCTGCCACCAGAATCTACTGTTACAACATTATGTTGCTATAACAGGTGCAATCATCTCAGCTCTGTTTTCAGACCACTACCAGAAACGTTTGCCAAATCAAATCTTTTCATGGGAGAAGCAAAAGGTACGCGGTCGGTTAACCAACACAGAAACACACACACACGATTCCTAACAAGCGTCAATGCATTTACGCTCTTATTTCTTCACTGCAGCTCAGAACAACATGAGGCGAATTTGTGATAACTGGAAATACAAACTAAACTCTGTGGTATTATTAGAAACAGTCAACACATTGTTTATTCGCTCCCATGATTATAAATGCAACATATCAGTCAGACAGCCCTCATCAGGCATTAACTTTTAATAGTAGTTTATCAGACAAATAAGTAAAGTACTATCCTGAAGACATATATAATAATTCACAATTATTTATAGCCACACTTTTAATATTTGGAGTATAGTGTTTGTACCCTCTTATTCTAATTATGTCATTAAATTTATTATATTTCACCTTGTTAATTATTACTTGTTCTTGGCGCTTTTACCGGACGGTGTCACCGCTTCATCTCATTTCACATAAAGTGCTTAAGTCATGGCTCTGAAGACGTCGCTTGTAATTAAACAACTCCGCCTCTTTCACATGAACGTGCTCGTAGCTTTATCTGTACACTCAGGGGTCACAGAGACAGCTGTTAATGGTTATCTGAGATCATCAATGCAGCAGGTAAAGCTGAACGTGTTTTTTTAATAAAGGCTCCAACTGTTTTTTTCTCAACTCAAACTATCAAATCTTTGAAACAAAAGTTTAAAAAAAAAACAACAGCGACTTATTGTACTCGTAGGATTTACATTTGTTAATAAAAATATACTTCTGCTATTCCAAATGCACCTGCCAACCTACACATGTAACACAAGAGTGGGCACAAGAGACGTGGGCAGAGGACTGATGCAGTGCATTATGGGTAGAATAACAGGCGTGTGGTTGGTAAACTGAGCACAGTAATGAGAATCTGTCAGAGTTAATAAGGTCCGTCCTCCGTCTGCAGGATCGTCATAAACCAGATAAAAGACATCACCCAACTAAAACAACACCAGAAGATGGACAGACGTGTCAGTTTACATTTTCACTGCGTCATATTTTAGTTTTAAGGGATCAATGTGTGCATGTGTGATTGTGGTGGAGGGTGGCATGAATAAAAAAAATAAAAATACTAAAAAGGGACCCACATCATGTCTTACCCCCGTCTGTTTGGAAATTTCTACCGTGACAGTTAAGTTTTCTTTCTCAGTCTTCCTTCTGTCCGTCTCCGGCTCATGGGGGCGGGGCTTGCGAGGGGTCGTCACAGCAATGCCCTCCTGCTCCGCCTTCTTCTTGTCTTCCTCTATTTCCTGATCGAGTGACAGAATGAGCGAGATGAGACTAAAGCGGTGCCCCATACACAAACTTGTGGACTAATTATAAGCAGGTTCTGAGCGTGTTGTATGTTTACACTGGAAAGTGACTAAGTATTCTCGTAACAGTGTGATTTTGAGGATTTCTGGGGTGTTAAACACTGATACGCCCGCTGTGACTGAAAGATAGTGGAAACACTTGATTTAAAAAAAGACATTGGTGAGAAACTGTATTTACTGTGGATCGGTCACCACAACGCAAAAATTATTGTACACTTGTCCCCCAAAACTATTATATAGAGAGCCTAAGCCCCTCCCCTTCCGGTGGACCACCATGGGACCTTATTTCAGGACAAAATATCCACGGTAGTCAATCCCATTTGAATTGTGCCATGAATTACACACGTCAATTTAAAAGATAATTTAAGTCAAGAAAATCGCAGTTTGTTGTAAAACAGGTGAATTAAGACTGTGAAAATATATAATTTTAAAAAAAGACTACAAACCCAAAAGTCACGTATGTGAAATCATAACTGTCTCTCTGAACTGAAGCTAACGTTACTGAAGCTGAGCTTCCCGGTGTAGATAAAAAGGACCAGGGGTCGTTGGATTCAACACATCAGGTGAGAGACATCTGTGCGTGGAACATAGCGAAGTTACCTAACTAGTAGCGACCATGTAGTTATTTTAGCATCAGTTTGATCTGTTTATTGCGACTAAATCACAGCAAAATGTTTGTTTTGGGTTCATACAGATGTAGTAATGGCTGGTTGTGTTTATTCTCATTGACCCGTTGCGTGTGAACACTCGTACGAGTAGTCCAGCGGTCAAAGTCACGCGATGAAAGCGATGCAAATTTTTATTAAATTAGGCTCTCTATAGGAATGAAAAAAAGTGGAAGAATAAGACCTCGATTGACGTTTAATCCATCCATTTTGTCATAAAGCCTTCAATTAAGTGCATTTATTTTTAGACATTTTTACACTTCGGTACCACCGTATGATCTGGTATTCATTCAATTCATGGACACGAGCATTAGGGCTTGTAGATTGCAGATCTACATAAAAAAAAAAAGTAATGCCCTCAGTGGTAACACTTATCTTTTAGTATCATTAACACGATGGGTGGATACAAAGACACATTCTGAATGTACTCCAAGTACTCCGTACCTGGTACCTCTTGACCAGAGCTTCATTTTTCTTCCTCAAAGCTTCGATTCGTCTGTCCAACTCCGCATCCTTCTCCTCCTTGGTCTTGAGGTCCACCGCTGAAGACTGGCACAAAGAGGAGGAGCGTTAGGAGAGCAGTAAATAGTAGAGGACCAACTGAAGTACTATAGATTATACTGTTGTCCCTTGTTGTCCCATTGCCACTTGGTAAACACAAGTGAGTTTTGCCTTTCAATATTGTACCCACACTCATTTGTGTTGCTCCATCTTACTCACCATAGCTGCCTCTGACTTGAGTTCATACACCGGTGGCTGACTGCTTGTTCCTCCTGTGATAAGGAAGATGAACAGGATGAAGATGATGCTGCAATCCAAAAACCACTCAAGAATGTGTGCCCATTAGCCATTTTATAAAAAAACGAGTATTTTATTGTTTCTTCACATGAATGTTTGATCTTCACTGTGCTGTGATGTTTTCTCCTCCCATCTGCTGCAGAGGGAATGTTTAAGGTGTGTACCTACAAGCATGATTTAGTGCCATTAGAACTAGTTTGGAGCCAACCATGGTCCAATATGCAACTTACACATGTGTGGTCTCCATTAGTTAAACTTTTAGTAAGCAGAAAATCTGAATATGAAAAGAAGTTTCGAGCAACACACCATAAAGCTTGTGCAATCCTGTTTTTACCATCTTAGAAATATATCACAAATACAATCAATTATAACTTTTAGAAAGGACACCGAGACCATTTTTCATGCCTTTTTCTCAGTATGCCTGGATTACGGCAACAGCTTTGACCAGAACAAAGAAAGAAGATCACATCATCTCGGTTTTAGCTTCATTACACGGACTCCCGGTATGCTTCAGTGTGTAGACTTTAGTCCCATACGCATCCCGTCTGTTGTCTGTCCCAAGGTCTTGACTGAAGACTAAAGGGGACAGAGCGTTTGCAGTCAGGGCCACAAGGCTCTGGAACAGCCCGCCCGAGGAAATCAGGTCAGCTGAGTCAGTGAACTCTTTTAAGTCCCTTCTTAAAACATACTTTTATAGGAGAGCCTTTCCTGATTGTAGCTGATTTTATTTATTTTTCTTTTAACTGTATTTTAGTTTCTTCCTGCTTTTACCGTGTATCTGGTTATCTGGTTTATGCGTTTTAGTATCTTTGCTCTCGTGAAAGCACTTTGTAACATGGTTTTGTGTGCTATAAATAAAGATTATTATGAAAAGACAAAGGCTGTTTCAATTAAAGAGGAAGTAAATTTAGTGTTTACATTTAACTGACCCTTTTTATCTAAAGTGACTTACATTTGCTATTTATGTTAGAGGTCACACGCCTCTAGAGCAACTAGGGGTGAGAGACACACTGGTGGATGTGTCACAGTGAGGAATTGAACCCAGGTCTCTCACAACAAACACATGCGTCTTATCCACTGCTCCATCTCCACCCCAGTGCTGAGAATGTAACTGATTTTTTGCAGACAAATTGGAAGCAGTCCTTTTTTATGTCTGATCCACTGGGTTCCCCCTCTCCACTGTGTGACAGATCAAGGTATTCACAGGTGAAATAACAGCCAGGTGCGCACCTGGCTGCGTATATATGTGGAACACAATAACCCAGCTGATTAAATCCTAAAAGCTTCTGTAAGCGTATTAGAGCTGCGGTCGGGATGCAAATTTAAGTTACCTGAGCCACGATGATGCCCAATACACAGACTGACCCGGCTGTTCGCCACATTAAACCCTTGCTGTTACTCTTACAAACAGGTACAGAGATCTATTTATTTCACTCTGGTCTGCTGGGAAGTAATGTTAGCAGTCTGAGCCATGTCCTTTCTGATACAAGGCGCCGAACCCCACACGAGGTAAACACGCCACCCACACGGACAGCACACAAAAAAACAGTTATTAAACATTCACATGCGTTTAAGTCACACTTTGTTAGTATTACCTGTATCGTGGAGGATTTGTAACGAGGGTACAGAGCAATGTTTGGAATCGTTGCTCTTTGCCAATTCCTGCACCTCAATGAGTCCTCGTTATTCGGCTTCCTGTTAGCAGCGGCTTACATCCTGCCAAATAATGAACCCCCATGAACCGGGTAAAACTAGTTCTCGCAATCTTTTTGTTTTGTTTTATTTTGTTACTTCGAGTTGTCGTGTAATGACTGTTTTACAGATATGGTAGGGAAAAAAATAATAACGTAGGACATAATCGATATCAATAATTATTACGTTGTTTTACAGGAAAGATGCTGTCCACGAGAGGGCGCCACCGGCCAGAGAACGAGCTTGACCTGAAACTCGAGCGGTGATCAGGCCAGATCCTGCCGCCCAATCTCTTAAAGGTAAACACACGGTAGAGTTTCCATTTACTGCTACATTGTACACTCACCTAAAGGATTATTAGGACCTGTTCAATTTCTCATTAATGCAATTATTTAATCAACCAATCACATGGCAGTTGCTTCAATGCATTTAGGGCTGTGGTCCTGGTCAAGACAATCTCCTGAACTCCAAACTGAATGTCAGAATGGGAAAGAAAGGTGATTTAAGCAATTTTGAGAGTGGCATGGTTGTTGGTGCCAGACGGGCCGGTCTGAGAATTTCACAATCTGCTCAGTTACTGGGATTTTCACGCACAACCATTTCTAGGGTTTACAAAGAATGGTGTGAAAAGGGAAAAACATCCAGTATGCGGCAGTCCTGTGGGCAAAAATGCTTTGTTGATGCTAGAGGTCAGAGGAGAATGGGCCGACCGATTCAAGCTGATAGAAGAGCAACTTTGACTGAAATAACCACGCGTTACAACCGAGGTATGCAGCAAAGCATTTGTGAAGCCTCAACACGCACAACCTTGAGGCGGATGGGCTACAACAGCAGAAGACCCCACCGGGTACCACTCATCTCCACTACAAATAGGAAAAAGAGGCTACAATCTGCAAGAGCTCACCAAAATTGGACAGTTGAAGACTGGAAAAATGTTGCCTGGTCTGATGAGTCTCGATTTCTGTTGAGACATTCAGATGGTAGAGTCAGAATTTGGCGTAAACAGAATGAGAACATGGATCCATCATGCCTTGTTACCACTGTGCAGGCTGCTGGTGGTGGTGTAATGGTGTGGGGGATGTTTTCTTGGCACACTTTAGGCCCCTTAGTGCCAATTGGGCATCGTTTATATGCCACGGCCTACCTGAGCATTGTTTCTGACCATGTCCATCCCTTTATGGCCACCATGTACCCATCCTCTGATGGCTTCTTCCAGCAGGATAATGCACCATGTCACAAAGCTCCAATCATTTCAAATTGGTTTCTTGAACATGACAATGAGTTCACTGTACTAAAATGGCCCCCACAGTCACCAGATCTCAACCCAATAGAGCATCTTTGGGATGTGGTGGAACGGGAGCTTCGTGCCCTGGATGTGCATCCCACAAATCTCCATCAACTGCAAGATGCTATCCATCAATATGGGCCAACATTTCTAAAGAATGCTTTCAGCACCTTGTTGAATCAATGCCACGTAGAATTAGGGCAGTTCTGAAGGCAACAGGGGGACAAACACAGTATTAGTATGGTGTTCCTAATAATCCTTTAGGTGAGTGTTTCTCACCTAAACAACATTTCTTTTTTACTGCACTACATTTATTTGATAACTTTAGTAGGTAGTTGCTTTCTAGATTCAGATTAATGCTACAAAATATAAACAACATATATATTATGATAATATTATTATATCAATAAAGTTACACCACATGATTTTATGTTAAGTTATATAACATAGTGTCACAGGATAAGATCGAAGACAATATGACATTTTTATATGACCAGAGAGAGAGAGTCAGAATCAGAATCCAAAATACTTTATTGATCCCCAGGGAGAAATTCACAGTTACTAACCCAGCAGTATATATATCACAATTACAAGCTGCATGCAAGATTACGGTTTTTCTCATTTGTCCATTCAGAAGTTACATTTTCAAAACTGTACACACACAGGCCTAAACTAAAAGTCTGTGACCAAAATAACCCGTTTGCAAAATGCTCTAACACTCTCAAAACATTAAAAACATGCAACAAAGCCAAATATTTCCATCAACCAACACAACCTGTGGTCAAATTAATATATCCTTTCAATCAGTTATTACACAACGGACAACAAAATACAAATATGAACTAGTTCAACTTTAATTTGTGCTATATGCCTGTGCCATTTGTTGCTACTTTAATTATAGCATGTGCCAAAAAAGAAAAGCAAACATATCAAACTATGAATTACATTATTTTCTCCAAAGATGATTTTATTAGACATAATAAACTCTGCTGCACTCTGCACCTGCCATTCTTTGACCCTTTTTTAGACGCCCTGTTGAAATTTTGTAAATGAATAAATAGAGACATTTGCTAAGAAAGTTTTCTTCATTCATTTTATTCTTGTGTGCAGGTCTTTCCATGGCAATGAACTGTTGACATTAAGGCCTACATTAAGGACCTAGACTAGACAAATTCAGACATTTATTAGCTTTCGTACTACAGTCTATCTTCACCAAAGAACCAATAAAGAATTTCACCAAAACTCAGAAATACTTTTTAAAGTACTGCATCAGATTTTTCCATTCTTTTGACTGGACTGCACGACCAGGACCAGCACTATAAACCTGAAAAGTATGTGACTAAACTCTAAAGAGTAAATGCTAAAAGCATGTAAAAATTGACATCTTTTATAGATGAATAAAGACTGATTGCTGATTAAAGAGTTGCGCAAAGGACTTTCACACAGGTGCACTGGGGATTTATCATTATGCAAGGAATTTCTATCAGATGTGAATAGATGTTTTCCTGTTGTTCAACGCAGTTAATCCAATAGAGTTTGGGTTCTTTCTATGCGAGGTGTGTTAACTTCTTTTGAAAAAGAGAAGATTTCTGCTGTGCTAAGAAAGTGATGATGAAGATCAAGTGGATCCCAGTTTGTCATAGTAAGTGACGTACACATTACAGTAATTGTAAGGGACCTTGCACAATAAATAGCCCCTTTTTAAAGAGGTAGTATTATGCTGTTTGGCTTTTTCCCAGCAGGGGCTGCAGTTATATATCTTTTTTGTGCATGTAATAGGTTTGCAAAGTGAAAAAGCCCGAAGTTCAGCCCAAAGGGAGTTCCCATCTTCCACAGAAAACTCTGCTCTGAACTGCCTGAAAACAGCTCGTTTGTAGTCCAGCCGCTTCCCTTTCATCCCCGTGACAACACAGGGCTGAAAGCAAAATGCGCCTCATATAACTCTCACTAAACTTTATGGATGAAAAATACTTTCGTTACAGATTAATAACTCGCTACTCTGGAACTCTTGCTCCAGTCAATGTTGCCAAGCTGGTCGGCAACATGTAGCTCACTTGTAGCTTACAGCTGAATCAAAGCTGTTTATGGGCTTCTCGCTGACCCGCCCGTCTCTGCTTCTGATTGGCTAGTAGTCCTTAACTAGGAACTGCGCATGTGCAACTCCCAACAAAGATCATTTAGAGACAAGATGTATCACTCCACAGCCTTTAGCATGACTAAGCATATTTCAAAAACCTCTCCCCTTTCAGTAGGATGACGCACCTGAACGGGTGAGTTAGTCTGAACAGAAAAACACACAGGTGAGATAAGGCTGATTGTCCTATTCGGCAGCAACAGACACAACAGAGACAGATAATTATGATAATAATGTGATCAGCTTGGCCTTCCAGTCTACGGATTTTGAGTAAAGATGATGAGATGTGGGAGGTAAAATATTTATTACAACTGAAGTGAACAGAACAGTCGCATTTAAAGCAACTACAGTATTTCTGTCTCTACAGCTTTAAAACATTACCTCCTTTTCCCTTTCACCATCTCACACACACACACTGTAATGCACACACACAGATGACAGACTATCCTGTGGCCCAGTTTCAGTGGTCACAGTCAAAACAAACAGCTACTCTGTTGTTAGGCAGGACACTCAGTAATGACCACGCAGGATTTGTTAATCACTTGATAAGATCGTGCAACCTGAGCCGAGTGTCTGTGCCGTTGTGTCACCAGCAGACGTGCAGAAGGGACCTGCTGCCAAGGTAAAGGTGGAGACAGGTGGAGGGACACAACAGGCAGCAGCATCAGTTACACTGATAAGGCTGATCTCATGTCACATACAGAACAAGGGTTCCCCATTAATCATAATTATAATCACCATGGAAATTCAACGCAACACAACTTCTCATAACTTCACATAACCAAATGAGACTTAACATGACAAAATAATGGCATCTAAGTCAGCATGTCAGCAACAAGATGGCAATGTGTGACATCATACGAGAAAGTGAAAGTATGTTAATCAAATACATCAGATCTGTAATCCACAACTCAGGTGACTCTCTGTACATCTATCTAAAGACAGTAGGTACCTCTTCTATTAGAGCTGCAATGATTAGTCGATTAGTTGTCAACTATTAAATGAATCACCAACTGTTTTGATAATCGAATAATCGGTTTGAGTATTTTTTTATGAAAAAAAACTCACATTTCTCTGATTACATTTTCACATTTTCTTAAATGTGAATATTTTCTGGTTTCTTTCCTCCCATATGACAGTAAACTGAATTTCATTTAAGTGACGTCATCTTGAGCTTTGGGAAACACTGAGGGACATTTTCTGACATTTTATAGACCAAACAACTAATCAATTAATCGAAAAATAATCGACAGATAAGTGGACACTGAAAATAATCGTTAGTTGCAGCCCTGTCTTCCATCAGCAGTATCTATACAGGTGTGGCCAGGCGAGCCATGTCAGCAACAAGTGTACGTACGGAGCAGAGCGCCGCTGCGAAATTGGAGCCCACAACGTGACGTGAAGTAGATGTGACATGACCTAAACACGTGATAGCCTATAAGTCATATTATATAATACAAATTAGTTTATATTTTGTTATGTTACATCAGTTCTAAGGGAGTCATGTTATTTTATCATCACACATCATGTTATGTTACTACGGGCTATGTGACCTCACATGACACTGCATAAAGTATTGCATGATATAGCATAATGCAATGCAATGTCATGTGAGGTCTAATGTCCCCAGGTTACACCACATGATGCCGTTATGTTAAGTTATATAACATATTGACAGATGATAAGATGTGAGACAACATGACACAACATTTTATATGATCAGAATCAGAATGAGAAACACTTTAAGAAAGAGAAATAATTGTGTTACAGTTGCTTACACACGAGGAGCAACTGTGGCCCACGCACACAGATATGTAGATGTCGGATGGGTTGATTCACAAAAGCAGCACATATGCAGAATGAAAAAGCACAGCTATTGCAGTTGTTAACATGCAGAGGTCTAAACTGAAGTCACACCATCAAAACTCTTCACACAGTCACAGATAGTCAACAGAAGTGTATGTGGACTAACCTGTGAATCCTGTTTCATTGCTTTCACACAAAATGCAAGCGTGACCAATATATAAGTATATCTGCAAGTGTGGGAACTGCAATCTGAGAGTGAAGCAGGAAATGTGCTTGCGATTTAGCAGACTTGGTTCAGGGGGTTGGTACATGAATTACAAGTTTGGGTCATTGTGTCTCAAGTACTAGTGTTACTGTGTAAACAACTGAGAAAATCTGAATCGCAGCACTGAAATTTTAGGATTTAATTATTATACGCAATGATGTAGAAAAAATAAAGGATATCGAAGCAAATAATATTCAATCATTCTTGTTACATATACTTTAGTAGTCCATAAACTGAGTTATTCTATAATAAAATACTGATTTATATGAAAAATCATTCGCACTTAAATATAAAAGTTCATCATTTATGAAAGATCTCTTTTGAGACATGAAGAGTTTTGAGTTTTGGAAGTGAGATTGACTGTTTAGTCAAGATTAACGTTGGTAATGCAGACTGTTCGAAGAGTTTTGAATAAGTGGCTTGACGGATGAAAAAAACTGTAATATGTGTAGCTCATTCCTGTATATATATGTTATAATTTCTGTTCTTATCAACACCGGTATATAAATTATGCAAACACGCTCACACATTTCTGATAGGGCACATTTCAGAGCAGTGTCTCAGTTGACAAATAATCACATCAGCTTGTTAAAAAAAAAACTGTTTACTAAAGCATTCCTGTTGTTGGGCTCCTGATTTATTAATTGTGATTCATTATGTCACCCTGTGATACGGGTCAGCAGCGATCCACGTACGTTGGATTAATTATCCTAGACGTGCTGGTTTGAAATGGAAGCCCAGTGCAGAGTTGTAGATCCCCTTTCAGCTGGAGCCTGGGTGCAGAGGGGAACTCAGCGATGAGCTCATTGTTGTGAAAGCCAAACAGCAGCCTCCCTGGGGATAACATGAGAACTCATGAGGCTCTGATCACGGAGAGAGGAAAGTGACGACGGTTTCTCTTGTTGATATAAACAACCAGCACTCGGGGGTTTACACAGCAATGGCAGTGACTGCATGGAGCGAGTGAGTGGAGTGAGTGGAGTTTACAGCTTAATCATCCACTTATTTTGGGAGGAAGTCACTAACGTTCCTCTAAGAAATCTTGGAAATACCAGACTGGCTTGGACAAACTCTTTATTCTGCATGTGTAGCTTTATGAAGAATGAGCACAAAGGACACGGGAAAATTATTGCAGGAATGCAGTAATTATTCCAAACACTCATGCTGTTTGAAAGTACCTTTAGCTCACTTAAACAATCAATCACACCTCACCATCACAAGGCAAACACACAGGACTAACATTTGACAGCAGCTAAATCTGAGTTATTTCGGTTTGATAAATAAAAATAAAAGCTATAAACATATATTTTATACAGTCTACAGTATACAGGTATGCATGCTATATACACCTTTAACTTAGATATGATCTTATCAACAAGAATGGCGAGTTTGCTACGTTACACAAGCTCTTAGCTTTTTTAAAAAACTCTTTTAATAAACAAAGATGCCAAGAAAGGAAATATTCTTACACCTTTTTTCCTTATCAAACAGAAAAATACAAGCATACACCTTCTAAATTCAAGTTTCTCTCTTTCATCTTTCATTGCCTTGTTAACTCATCGTAAAATGCATTTCATTCAAACTCAACACCGCTCTTTGTTAGTCTTTCCACAATCACCAACTCTGGTCTCCTCATCAAATGAAGACAACTTTGGCCTTTTTGCACAGGACATCCTCGTTGTCCAAGATGTTGTTAAACTATCATGTATTGAAGAGAAGATGGCCTAACACTGAGCTCCAATGATTTTATCCTGATGTTTCAACCACACTTGGTATTTTTCAAGACAGGTTCGATACAAGTGTCAGATACAAACACAACGTAAAGTTACTTTATGCTTCCATTTATTGAAATTTGCCCACACTCAGACCAGAAAACGTTTCTGATGCGGGTAATAAATAGGTATTAATCCGAGTGATCACAAACTATAAACAGTTTGTAGACTGGTAGTGTGTTGATGTACTAAAAATAAACAAGCTAAAATAACGTTTCAAGGTAGCAGCAAAACAGAGCGGAGCAAAACTGGAAATGTAATGTGACCATACATATTTTTTATCTATTTCTAATGATTTCTATTTCTCTACAGATGCCCTAATTTATGTGTTTTGTAAACCCGTGTATATTCTCTTTTTTTGCTATTAATTAAATTAACCTTTTTGTTGTTTGTACTAAATTATATATACAATAATTATATACATATATATATATATAATTATACATATTATAATGCCACACAGCTGGTCAAGAAGGCTTAACAGTGGGCTGTACTTCCTGAGGAGACTGAGGAAGTTCGGTGTGTCACCTCTGGAACTTCTACAGGTGCACTGTTGAGTGCATTCTGACCAGCTGCATCACCGTGTGGTGTCGCAGCACTACTGCAATGGACTGCAAACACCTGCAGAGAGTGGTGAAGACAGCTGAAAAGATCACCAGGACTCCACCAGCCTCCCTGCAGAGCATCTACCATCCAAAGAATACCAAAGAATCCACAGAAGAGCTGCCTCCATTATCAAGGATCCTACCCACCCCCAACATGAACTGTTCACCTCCTCGGGTCGGAGGTATAGAAGTGTGAAATGTAGGACGACATGACTGAAGAACTCAGACTCCTAAACAGTTAATAGGCATGTGGACTCCATGCCCATCTTTACACTGTATCATGACATGTTAATTGCACTATTATTGCACATCTGCACATTGCTACATGTACAATTTCCATTTGCTTTTATATCTCTATTTATCATATTTATCATTGTATTTGTATTTATAAATATATTTCATTTTCCTTTTTATAGTAGGCATTTGATGTGGACAGCAAAGTAAGAATTTCAGTGTACAGGGAAACTTGAACATCTGGCAATAAACACTTTGAATCTTATCTTATTTAATTTATTGGTTAGCTGGACCCCTAACTATGCATTTTTGTAATGGCCTTTGTATCCATTTCTTTGTAGCCCTTAATTTTAGATTGTCCTCTTCAAACATTTCCAGGACATAAGGTTATGATATAAATTCACTGGACCTTAATGTGCAGTCATCTTCTCTTCAATATCTGACCAGCACCTGGTCTGTGGTGTGCATTCAGCAGACAACTCTTGCTGGTTGTTAAAATATCGTCAAACCTCCATCAAACTTTAATTACACAGCAGCAAATACTAGATTACTAGGTATTGAGATATATTTTTGAATATACCTCTACTCAAATATTCTTTCCCATCGTTCCTGGTGTTGCAGGAGAAATAAAGCGTGTGCGAACAGTGATGTGAATCAGATGCACATTCCTCCGCACTGTGTTGACTCGACTTATCATAACAGGGATTTGGTGGGCTGTCATAGCAGTGAACACACACACACACACACACACACACACACACACACACACATACAGGTCCATCTGTCCAGCTCTGTTTGAGATGAAAAGGATGAGGTAATGGTGTTGCTTTTCAGAAGCCTGATGCCTTCTCTCCCTCCGTCCATCAGATATGTCACATTTCTTCCTCTTGATAGTTTTCTCAGTGTCTATTTATCTCTTTATCTCTATTGTCTTTTTCTTTCCTTCTGTCTCTGTGAAGTAGCTCTGGGCTGGTGACAGGCCGGAAGCGTTATTAAAAGGCATAAGAGTGACATAAGAGCAATCATTATTCAGTCATAAAAATCTGCATTACATTCAGTCAAAAGGGTTAGAGGACAATGCAAATGACCAGATCATAGCTGATAAACCCATAAATATTTTCTTCTTACTATTATTTTCACACATCCATTATGAGGATTAAAGTAAAGATGAGAGAAAGGGCAGGGATGTTTGAATGTGGATACCAGCAGAACTTCTCGTCATTGTATCACTGGTTGCTAACGCCACAGCACAAAGCATCTTTATCATCCCATCAGCACCCTGCTAACATTACAACGTACATCTGATAAAGGTAACACTGAGCTTTGGGCTACCTCGCTCCACTCAGATAGCTTTAACTGTTAACAGGTATGCTTTGCGCCTGCTTTTTCTGCAGCTCTGACATCACATGATGACAGAGAGAGGTTTGCCCTCCACCTCCTGTGACACCTCTTTAGCGGATAATTATCACAACAACAGCAGAAGCTAATTTGTGAAATGCAGGTGAGAAAAAAAGAGGGAGGGGGAAGATGATAAACAAATGAAGGCACCAAAGAAAGGAGAGATGAAGGAGGAATTAGATAAGATATTGGTAATGAATAACAAGAGAATTCCAAAGAAACAGAATTAAACACTACAAAAGAGAAGACAGTGAAACTAAACTGTGCTTGTGGTCGTGTTTGTTTAAAGAATTGTGTGCCAAAATAGGAAGGATGGATGGAGGGATGACTGAAGAGAGAGATAAAAGTAAATAACAGAGAGAGGTGAGGAAGGAAAGAAGAAAGAAGAAAAAGAAAGGAAGACAAGATGGCTGGAAGCAGGGAAGAATACAAAGACATAAGAGGAAGGTGAAGTTAAAAGAGGAAGAACCTCAACCATTACCTCAGAGACTCAAGCTACATCACTGGCTGCAGTTCTTCTGGCTTGGTCGAACACACCATCGGTTAAGTCTGATGGACGATCATGGATCACCAAATACCCCACAATTAGATCTGATGGTTCATCAGGGGGGTTTTTCAGGTGGGAAGCTGAAGAGGGATCATATCCTGCACCTGTGAAATCTGGCCCACGTTCTGAACAAAGGCTGGGACAGATATGTGCCAACATACAAACCTTTCCTTTTTCTACTACCTCCACTATTTACTTTACCCACAATTACATAAAATACATTTGAATTTAAAGGCATTTTAATGCAATTTTATGCATTTTTTTACATTTTATTTATTCTGTCTGCCTGGTGCACGAATTGTGCTATAAATAAAGCCTTTATTTAACCAGGCAGGACAAGGCATTGCAAAGTTGTCTTGCCTTTCCACAGGGATGGCAACGCTGGTCTGTCGGTCTGTCCAAACTGAAATACCCTAGTCTGCCCACGTCCCCGCTGCCCCATTTAAAAGGTTTCTAGAACGACCCCTGGATGAAGGGAGGAGGAGTGGGTTTGTATGTGGAGGAGGTGAGGGTGAAACCAATGATGTCATTGTAGCAACCCAAACACTGGCTCAGCTTTCAGTGTTGGGAACACATGCTGAGGCCGTCTGTTTTGGTTACCACAGAACAAATATCAGCCACAAACACTTAATGGGGATTTCTCTTCACAGTCAGAAATCTACTCTCTCCTTTAAGGTTCTCATCAGGTCTTCCACCTGCTACCAAATTTAATTAATGTAGCAGCAGAAGGAAGAAAAGAACAGCAGAAATTTGTAAATGCACATAGTGATAATACAGTATGTGAATAGACACTGACCACATTCATGTGTTGGACACCTGTGAGTACTGCTGACACATTATATAACATATCATATGAGTTTGTTTTTTGGGTATTATTGTCTTTACATTTGTTAAAGCACTTTGTAACTTGTTTTTGAAAAGTGCTCTACAAATAAAGATTATTATTATTATTATTATGATGCCAGTGAGCATCCTCCTCCTCCACTCTGATTTCTAATGTTAGTGGGTGGAAACATTTTATCCCCAAAAATGTCAACTTTTAAGGAACTAAGAAAAACAAAGCAGTCCAGTATTAAGCCTAACAACCACACATTTTTCAGTTTCTTTAATTAGTTTTAAGAAGGTTTCAGAGACCCAACCGTTGTTGAAGTTTTTCCTCAAACCACAGAGGAGATGAAATAACCACGCGTGAAAAGAAAAACTAAAAAAAGATTTAAGTCACAAGGCTAACATGTGAGAGTGATGTGGGTGCAGATATGCTCTTAATAGTAGTCGGGTCACTAAACACAACAACAATGATGGAGCCTTCTATCAACAGAGAGCATTCACAACGTGAATAATCACACATTTAATAATGACCAACTGGGGTCTACCCAGATGTAAAGCTAATAAAATGAAGCCAATTCAATTTTTATTTGTACTTGCATCACAAGAATGCATACAGCATTATCACCGTGTTGATCAAAGGCCTGAGCTAAAGCTAAACAAAAATGTATTTTAATGCTGTTCATCATTGTTTCTTTACACTGCAAATATCTAGCAAAGGACAAATTTAACACACATTTACAAACTATTCCTCAGTTATTATTGTTTACAGGCAAATCCACTTCTGATGTGTATTAGTTGTAAACTTCAGTAACCCTCCAGTCCAACGTGCCCCCTCCCTGTTTGAATTAAGTCATTTATTACAGGAGTCCTGTTAAATATTACACATTTTGTTCAGCATCTTAGGTGGCAACTCGGAATTCCTTAGCTTTTGATGGAATGCAAATAAAAGCAAAAAACATACAAACATAGTACTTAAACAAGCATAAAAGTATTATGTAAATGCTCTGTATTTGTATAGAGGCTTTCTAGTCTTCGCGACCACTCAAAGCGCTCTTACACTACATCGCATTCACCATTCACACACATTCACACGCTGGTGGAACAGCCACCTGGACCAATTCAGGGTTCAGTATCTTGCCCAAGGACACTTCGACATTTATATATTATAATCACATTTAGTTTAGTTTATTTTTTAGAAATTCTTTTTGTGTCCCTGGTGATTGAAAGACAAATAAAACAACAACAAAAGAAATTCCAATTAAGGACAGACATCAGACAGCAGCTCCACAACAACATCAACAACAATCAAAGGTCAACTGCCATAAAATCCAAATGTCGTATCATACTGGAAGGTATGTGGGACCTCTGATCACAGGTAGTCCTGATGGTAACAACTCATATTCACCACAGAGAGAGGATGTGATACATTACTGAGGACTGTCTGTCCTTTTTTCACCACAGGACACACTGAGCCATGTGTTGTTGTTGAACTGGAATCTTACCCAATATATTGTTAACTGCAGACAATAAGAAGCGCCAAGCAATAACACTGAAATTTACAAAACTCTTCACAAATTAACAGAAGAGAAGTCTGTCCACCCCAGACTGCCAAAGCTTACAAATAAACAGCGGTGGAAGTATATTTACTAAAGTACCGCATTTATTTATACTTCTACTCTAAAAGGGCAAAATCTATTTGATACTTTAGTTACTGAGCAGATGCTGTGATTTAAACAGAGTGTGTTTCACCTGTTTAGTAGACCTGTGACAGATCAACTGTGCATGGAGGATGCAGAACAACACACCGTGCTCACAGCTGTTCTGTTGCTGGTCGACATGTCAAGCAACATGAAGCAGGAAGTGTTCAGTGGCCATCCAATGGCAAAATTAGCTAATATCAAAAAGTGAAAATCTCCCTTTTTCATCTACTGGTGGGGTTTTTTTTGGCTTAGTTATTGGGCTTGACTGAAGGGAAGATAGAGGAGCGTCGTGGTTCTGCTGCAGAACAGAGACACAAGGCGGCAGATCTCATTTACATGCTTATCACAACTGCAGAGGTATAGATGATCTGTCAGAGAGAGAGAGCGCATGGTGTGTGTGTGTGTGTGTGTGTGTGTGTGTGTGTGTGTGTGTGTGTGTGTGTGTGTGTGTGTGTGTGTGTCAGATGGATGCAGGTGAATACAGAGACAGGGTCAGAGAGCTGTGGGTGCACCTTATCTGGTGCCGTCATGTCTCTCTAGTTGCATGGCTGCACTCATGTTACAGTGTGTGCAACCCCCCTCCACACACACACACACACACACACAAACACAAACATGCACACACACGTTGCAGGATAGAAAACAATGTGTAATGCTGAGGTGTGACTGACCCTTTAGCCTGCACCTGTTCTCCTGATGACAAGGACAATCATAATAAACACCTTACAAATAAGAAAACTCTCATAAGATTAAGGTGATTAAAATATTTAACATAATAAAATTTTATCCCACTATGAATATTGTGATTGGTGGGAACAGCCACAGAGAAAGTGCCAGTAAAACAACAAAAACTGTACATATTACTAAAGAACAGTTAATGTCGCTGAACACATTCGCCTTCAAACACTTTTGTGAGGTAATACAACTGTCACAAAAGTAATAACAGTGTAAACTGGACATAATGGGGCAGCTGTTTAAACTGGGCTTTGTTATAATAAGTAATAATAATTTCCCAAAACTCCCATCTACCTAAAATGTTTAATGATAGTGAGAAGAAAAAGAAGAAGATGACAGAAATATGATGGAGAACAAGACAAAAATGATTCTTTGAAGGAAATAATCCTCCAACATTTACGTTATTTCTTGATCAATCATCACAATGTTTGCCATTAGAGAAACTAATTCTAGAGAAACGGTGGGTTAATTGTAGAAATGGATGTGTGTAAGTGCTGCGATAAATTTAGATGTAGTGTCTCTTGACATGAGAAGGTTGTGGTGTGACACACTGACAGTAAAATCTGATATTACAAAGTGCTACAGAAGAAACTATTCATGAGGCAGACAATAAATTTGACAGTACCAGTGATTTATTTTCATAGTAAATTTACCGACCATCAAATCTTTTGACAGCTCATCATTATCAAAGTAATTCATAGTGTTAATAATGAAAAAAAAGCAGGAGCTGCAACAACATAACAAAAGCGCCCTGACAGGATTTTAGATGGCAACACTCTTGACTCACATTAGCATTCATTATCTAGTCTCTACAAGCTGATTGTTGACCACATGTCATGCAAAGCTGGCAGAGGATGTTCGCCCGGGCATGTACCTGAGAGGGGGCTACACCCATTCTGTCCCAAATAAGGGGTGTGCGCCAATCTGCTGCTGCGGAGGTGGAGGGGGTGTCTTGAGAAAAGCTGCCATTTCCAGCCGACTTAACAGCCTCTGAGCCCTCCGTTCTGCAGAGCCGCCCCTGTCTCATGCCCTGCAGCCAGAGGACAATGATCTGAGGGTCAGGAGTCACGGCAGCGGGGGTGTCTGTAGTCATTTACAATGCTAATTTTTCAGACTATAGGGTGCAAAGGCTTGAACAATTAGGCTGCTGTTGTGACTTTACTGCAGGTTTCCCTCAGAAAAGATCACTATTAGTAAGTATGATGGTTGCAGCTGGCTGTGAAGTGTCAAAGATTAAAAATAAGCAAACATAAAATAAAAAGAAAGATTTTGTAGTAATATGTAAAAGTTAAAAATGAGTCTCTTCATTGAGTGTGCAAACAGTCTAGATGTTTTTAATGGCTGACTACATTTTTGGATTCAACAATTTGTCATGATTCCAGTGTTTGCAAAATTTACAACTAATCCAAGATTATAATTTTTAATGTTTGGGTTTAGGAAATCTCTTCCAAATCCAATCAAAATGATTTATATTGAAGCTTCAAGTGCAGAGAGTCAGTTTGCATTTCAAAGAAACTTTGGTTGTATAGCCAGAGGGAAACTAATAAATACAAGCTGACGTGTTTGGTCTTTTTCTGCAGGAGGATACAGATCTGCATTGCTAATAATTTCTTAATCAGTCCAGTGTTGGGTATGAGGACATTCATGGAATGTGGAATGAACACAGAGTAACACATAATATCAATGACAAAAATATTTTGTCAGGTGCAGACGGAGAAGTATGTCCTCGACAATATCTTTAGAAATCAAATCACTTTCACTGAAGTACACATTTCATTTTAGCAGACGAAGAAGCCTTGTCATTAAAATTGACCTGACAACATCTGTGCCCTACAACAACAAAAAATTCAATGGACTGAATTAAAATTCCATGTATGTATATATTTCTGAAAATGCAGTTACACTGTAATGATGCCTGAATAGTTCATTTGTGATCTATTTAACTAACTACTTGCTTCTGATATTAACTTCCTTAAAGATGATTCACAGAATAGGATTATCATCTATATAGGATCACAAGTTACACCAAGCCAACCGGCATCCTTCATTGTCCCCATTTTAATTGCAGTCCGTGTAAAATGCAGAAAGGGTGCACTCTAATCACAGTTGGTCGAGAAGACTGGGATCCACAGTAGTTCAAAAAACAAATTAAAACACTTTTACCCTGGAACTGGTTCTGCAGCTAATGTGTTGCAACTTCATTGTATTTTTTGAAAATATAATGCAACAACGACTCAAGACAACATAAATAATCCACCTGACTACAATTTTACACTTGCAGACGAAAGCAAAGTAATGAGGAATCTCAAACCCACACAGGGTGGTTTACACCATGAGGTCACATGAGAGCTGTTGACATGGATGACTGATCCATCAGAGGTTCACATTTCTTTACATGGATCAAGCAAAACTAAATCACAACTGTCAGAAGTGATTATAGGTACTAATGGCTGTGGCACTCTCCCTGCACTTACACTGAATGTGTTACAATAAACAGATACTTCACACTAAAGGCTGACTCAGCTCCACTCCACAGACGATGGCATTGTGTTAGTTTACAGCTGCTGCAGATGTGTCAAGCTGAGAAGGAAATTGGGGGAAAGCCAGCTGGGGGAATGTTTTGTTGATTCTTGTGGGGATATTGTCACCTGATGAGGAAATGTCTTGTGTCCTGAGATGAGAGATAAAAAAGTTAAAGAGTGTGGGGAGGGGAAAATACAGGATGTGACGAGCATTAACTGTTAACTGTTTCAGGTAAATATAAGAGAAGATATAAGGCTGCAGGAAGTGTTAGGTTTTATATAAATAAACAGAAGACAGAAATGAAAGAGAGGGGGAGATAGAGAGGGACGGCAGCATCCTGTCGGGGAGCATGTCAGCACTTGTTGAGGTGGAGGAGACAGAGGCGTGACGAAGGAAGTCAAGTTAACTGCACAACACCCGGATACGGCCGTAAAAATAAAAGCATGTCAACTGCAGTCAGGAAAAAAAGAGGTTCAAACAGAAGTTTAAATGGAGAATTACATTTGTATTAGTGTACGGTAAAATTATAAATGAGAATCTGTTGAATGCACCTCATATGGACATAATGTGTAGTTTCTGTTTTGCTTTGGACATTTTGTGAGTTTCAGGTGGTTTTAAAACAATAATAAACATTGACATACAAGCATTTTGTTATACATATTTTTAATTATTTGTCTCAATAAATTTACTCATTAAAAAAAAAGATTATTTCACCCATGTTTAGCCTGTTTGAGCATTTACATAATTGGTTAGCCTATATATGTTTAGGACTATATGATCCTTTCTCACTATAAGGATGTTTCAATGGTGTTAAAATTTCTTTCTTATTAATACCTACTATTATGCATTATAAAAATGTATTTTATGTTATTATCTTCATTTAACCAGGAAAGACTCGCTGAAGTTAATACAAAATTAACACAATAACATTAATAAAACCAGAAATGTAGGCTATTGAATTTAACATGAACAAACACAACAAGAAATACTTTTTTCATTGGGCTCAATAAAAACATGTCCACGTGGGTTTTTAGTCTGAAAAGTGACACCGGATGTCAGCTGTACTTCTTCAATCTGCTTTGACAAAGACGGTAATAAAAGCAGTGAAGACCGCTCGGTGGTGAAAAGCCCGGACAGACAACTGCGCAGACAACAAGCCGCTCCGTTATCCGCCACATCTCGTCGGTATTTTTGTTTTGATGGGTTAATCTGCGACCGAAGAACAGAAGCTGAATAACAGAGACAATCCGAACAGGGAAACTTGAAATGGAATGACACCTTTTCCCCCCTCGAGTGGACTTTTTGTCGTCGTCTTGTGATCCCGGTGGCATTAACCGCTTGTTTTGGCACATTTGATCCCGTCTGATGTCCACCTGCTGCCGCCGGTTTGTGACCTGCAGACAGCCTCACCACGGAGCATCAGATTGACCAAGTAGGTGCACAAGTTGGTTGTGTGTTTAAAATCCTATGGTTGCATCATCTGTCCCGCTGTCACAAGGAAGAAAAAAAAAAACCCTGCAACACATCATGATGTCTTGCTTCTTTAAAATGATTTCCTCGCCTTATCTTTTATAACATATTTGCAGGTTATAGTTACACATAGCTTCGACTTTTGGGTTTATTTGTGAGTGCGTGGATCTTTCTGTGACCCTTAAAGTGTTAAGTTATATGTTTGGGACAAGTCCTGACTTGTTAAGTTACAGAAACATGAGCAACATCCATGGGGAGAGAAATTAAAATAAATGTCATGTAGGTTTGAGACTAAAACTGCGATTTACACATATTATCTTGGATATCTGGATGGCTGCCATAAAATCACTGTTATTAATTAATTATTTTATCGACCCGAAACGCAGTGTAGTTGTAACTTTAGTTACGCACCTCGCGGGAATTTTTATTCCTTTACTCGTTTTTGTTCCGACGTCAAATATTTGTGCCAAAATTACTTTAATTCCACTTTACAAGGATTGTTCATTCACACTGTTTTCTGCTTGCTGACTAAACGTTGATATTTTCCTTCATGGCACAAATGACTGCCGTTAAAAGTTCACGCACACGCCTCTTTGCTGCCTGTGTGTGTGTGTGCGCGCGCGCGTCCTCGTGCTCGTGCTCGTGCAGCACGGATTTGTTTACAAACACGCGTCTCGTGCTCATGAATGGGAGCCGCCGTTGCCCTCTACCGGCCGATGGCAGGTTGGTGGGTCAAACTGGTGAAGAAAAGAGGAAGGACAAAAACAATGGTACTAAAATTAGAAATGTGGATTTATCTATTTTAAAAATATTGTTTTTAAAACACATCTTTGGACACAAGTCCAATATGTTGTTACATTTGAATTATCATTAGATAACTGTGGATAAATCAGAGCTAAAACAATTAGCTGATTAATTGATTAGATGTCAATTACTAAATTAATCACCAACTATTTTTTAAATCGATTGTTGGCTTTGAGTCCTTTTTTAAAGATAAAAAACGTTAAATTCTCTGATTCCAGCTTCTCAAATGGAATTATTTCAGGTTTCTTTACAGAATATATATATATATATATATATATATATATAGATTTAGGACAAAAGAAGACATTTGAAGACGTCACTTTAGTTTTGGGAAACACTCAATGACATTTTTCACAATTTTTTGAACCTAATAAGTAATCAATTAACCGAAAAAAATAATCGGCAGATTAATCGATTATGAAAATAATCGTTAGTTGCAGCCATAGTATAAATATGGGTGTGTAATTACATATGAGCTTGTGTCCCGTGTGTGATTTAGGCTACTGCTGAGATGGCCCGTGCAGAGACCATCGAGAGTGTCGGGGAACCCGGGGGAGGAGGGAACACCTGCCGCATGGGGCTGCCTCGGCCCATCGAAGCCTGGCCCGGCCTGCTCACCACCACCACCATCACCACCAGCTCTAGGACTGGCATCGGTGCCATCCACCATAACCACCACAATCTGCACCCATTGCAGGCTCACTATGTGTCATACTCTCCGCCTTACCCCCACCCAGAGGGGCAGGACGAGCCCCAGACTCACCAGCAGTTATCTGCGTTATCGCCATCACCAGCGCCTCCTCCTTCGCCACTCTGCAATCGGAGGGGCAGAGGCGCAGTTGCACCTAGTGCCTTCTCAGGACAGCAGTCAGGTAAGATAATAGCATTCACTTATAACCAAAGGAAAATAGTGCTAGATGCTTAAAAACAAACCTTAGTGGAGGTTAAAAATCTTACTTTAAAAGTAATAGCACGTGAGTTGCAGCACGTCGTCATTAAAACCATTTCGGTTCGTGCTCCCTTTGTGTTGACACACAGGGAAATTGGGCCAACAAGGTCTGTATCAGAGCACATCAGCTGCCAGAACAAGCAACTACAGGGCCAGCATTGATTTTCGGCCAATGCTGGCTGCAGGAACAAGCTCATCAGATATACTAGACGAGCAGCAGTGGATGCAGGTTCCGATGAAACAGTGGAAATTGTGACTCATCCATGCAGCGCAGTTTGCCTTTCAGACCTCCACCCTTAAACAAACAGTGAAGTTATCAGTTAGCAGAGACTGTTTGGGCTGTGTTGATGGGGGACAGGTGGAGGAGATGAGGAGGAGATGCGTTACAGCTGTGACAGGGAAAAACTCTTCTGCTGCAGAATGGCCACTGTGCCTGAGTATCATGTAGCAACACTGGACCCAGACAATAAAACTGCTCAAACCGGTTTTGTTCAGCAGACAATACAATATATGTTCACGAGGTGTGAAGAGGGGAGGTTACAATGGCAAGGATGGGTATTAGACTATTAATATTTTGGCTCAAGTTAGACAGGAACATCTATTTTACATTCATAGATATTGCACCTGTTTCTGTGCGTTGTCAAAGACAGGTATTAAAAGCAGCTTTTGTTGCTGGTGCTTCATGTTAGTATTTTGGGAATAAACGGTGTCACAACTAAAAATGTCAGTAAATTGTTTTATTTATGTCTCCAGCAGCTAGTTTCTCGCTATTAAAGTGATTCTGCCTCAACCCCTGTCAGTGAGAGTGATTCCCCTCGGAAGTCAAATTACTTCTCAGTTTGTTTAATTTGGCCTCTTGTGTGTTTAGTCAATACAGGAGAGCTTTGAGTTGTGATGACTGGAGTCACCTTTTATTATCACAGGATGGAGCGTGTAGAGTCAATCGAAACTTCAGTATCCTGGTGTGAAATTTAGAAGTGGTAGAAAGGGAAATTCAGGAGGCAGCAGTGGCTCAGCAGGTGGACATTTGGCTGTGAGCCTCTGTTTTGTGACAGCTTTGTAGCAATATAAACAGACAAGTTGTGTCTGCCTCCACCTCCTACTCCTCCTCCTCCTCCTCCTCCCTCATCTGTGGGTCAGCTGTGAATCTCAGGCATGTTCAGACATGTCCTCTGCACTCAGGCTGCAACAGAGAGAGCTTCCTCCCGCTCTGAGCGGCTCAGCCAGGCAGCACAAAGTCATGTCAGGCAGTCAGTTTATCTTTAGTTTAGCCATTTAGTTCAGGCTGCAGATTTCTCATTTTTCAAGTCATTAATTTAGTCAGTCACGTTTGTAAGTTAAACAGCCAGATTCAGAGAAGCCAATTTGTTGGACTTAAAAATGTGTTAATCAGGCTTATCAATCAGTTCACGACTCACACAGTTAGACAGCCAGTGAGTTTATCTTTAGTTTTTACATTCAATCAGGCCTCAGATTTCTAATTTTTAAGACATTTATTTAGTCAGGCAGTTAAGTTTGTTAATTAAGATTCAGAAAAACAACTGTTTGTTAGACTTTGTGTTAATAAGGCTTATCAATCAGTTCACTAATCACACACTTAAACAGTCAGTTAATTAGAAAGTCAGTTTGTTATCCAGTCAGTAAGGTAATTAGCTACTCAGTAACCTAGTTAATCAATTAGTCAGAAAATTAGGATGATCCACAAGACTCCTAACCAGTCAGTCAAGTAACCAATAAACATAAATATTTTTATACATAATGGCGAGGTAGAATAGCGGCGCAACATTCCCATTAGTAAAGTTATATAACATAAAGTTAGGAAGTTATCCAGCTCACCATGAAGCGTTATGAGCCCCTGTTAGTAGGGCAAAATAAAAGGCAAGACAAGTTAATTTCTTAAACATATCCCCTTGTTTTTAACCAGCTACTTGTAGTTTATTTATTTATTTGCACCTATTAAAGTGATTTTACCCCTTGTATGGGCATCTTATTCCATAGTGTATGCTGTAGGTATTTATTTTACTTTTACAATATGTTACCGTAAGCATAGCCATCTTCAAGATACAAAAAAAACAATAAAATGTTCTTTTATGTGTCAACAAATAGACATTGAGCTTAGGGGGGCGTCTTACCCCAAACTACCCTATTTCTGGTCTAGTCTGTTTGGATTTTTAATGCCCCCCAATAACTAAACCCCCCTGCCTCCCACATTTAACTGGTCAGGGGATCTCTCTGTTACCTTGTCAGTCTGTCAGCCTATCACACAGAGAGGTTTATCCCCAGTCCTGCCCCCTTTTCCTCCCGTCCACCCTATCACAGCACAGACCCCCACTCTGCCCGGCCAATCACGTCAAGACGTCTCCAGGAGCGCTGCCTCAGAGTTACCTTGGCAACAAGCCACGGTTTCCAATTGTTTTTTTTTTCTACGCTCTCTCTTTTCTGTCTCTCAGTCTGTCTAGTCACCTGCATCTTTAAAGGATCAGCTGTAATCCTACTAGAGCTATGGTTGCCGCAGGCGCTCAGCTCGGTGCCGGAGACAGGGGTCGTTTCATAGAGACAGTAAAGAAACGGGGGACCCAAAGGTCTATCGTAGGAAGATTAGAACAGGTTATCTACTCATCTTAAAGAGAATTGATATTCAAAACCAAAGACATTGTCATTTAATACAATATAATTCAGAATAAATAAAAACATTTTATGCTTTTATAATGCTTGTTGGCTTTTTCCCTTGTGTTATATATCTTTTTTGTGCATGTAATACATTTTCAAAGTCTCCCACAGAAAAAACTGCTCCCGAACTGCCTGAAAGCAGATTGATTTTAATGCAGCCTTTACTTCTGTGAATAAGTTGTGTCACTTTGTAACACTCGTCATAATGCTCGCCTGGCGGCTACTGTGGCACGCCCTCAAAAACACAAGTGGAAAAACCTACGAGCTCACCCCCACACTCCCAACCAAGCGTTAAATGGACATTATTACCGTGATGTAGAAACAGTGCGCAGTTAAAACTTTACGTATGAAAGATCAATATATTGCCAAGACGAAGCGGTGAAAACACAGGGTGAAAAGAGCAACTGCAGCAATGTACAGTATGACAATAAACATATCATGTAAACCTATTCTAGTACAACCCCTAAATACAATTATGAACCTGAAAAAGAGCATAATATTACCTCTTTAAACATTGTTGGATAATCAAGCAAACTTTTTATGCCATTATATTACATTTGGGAAGTGTTTCTTTGTTTAATTTTGTGTTACATGATAAACAACAGACATGATAAAATGCAGAAAGAGGAGAAGAAAGAGAAAAGTATCAGTGCTCTGGGTTTCCTGCTGTAGTTTAATCATGCATGTGGTAATAATACATACACTCTTCTACATTATAAAATAGGCTTTAGCTGATTCTAGAAGCAAGAAAAATAAACAAGCAAGTAAGTAAACACAAACAAGTAATAGACAAATGAACATTTTTTTTCTAAAACAGTCAGAAAATGCTTTCAAATCGAACAAACCATGACATTTAATTCACGCTAGTTTTCATAAAACTATTGATAATTGCGATGAAGCGACCAGACAGAAGGTACAGGTATCTGTCTGTTTAAAAAAAAAAACACAAAAGCTGTAAACACACAAACACACACACACACACACACACACACACAGTACCTCTCAATACCAGACTTATTAAGCAGATTAAGAGATTACTCTCCCAAGTTCCATGAAGAGGAAAATAAGACACCAGTCTCCTTAAGAAAATATATACGTGTTTGTGTTTGTGTGTGCGAGTTCGGCCAGAGAACTTAACCTCACTGCGACCCACAGTAACTATTTTTGGTATATTGTTAATGTCAGAGGTGAAGGCTGAGGTTTAAATGTGTATAGCAAGAAAATTCACTTCCTGTTCTTTCTGCATCATAAACAGTAACCTCCCCCTTTTCATTTTATGCAAGCAAAAACAAGCCCGTGCAAACATATGAAAGCAAAAATATTTTAATCTGTATTGTTATCTATTTCTATATATTACTGCAAGTTACCTGTAAAGTCACATTGCTGTTGAACGTGATGATCAGCAACGGCCTGAAAGGGGGTGACTGAGGATGTCTGGGAAGTCTGTGTATGATATTGTCTGTATTTGTGTCTAAACTGAATAGTATGTGTGCGTTGATCACCCCAACTTGAACATCTACATCAGTGTACACTGCTTTGTTGAGAAAATGATGCATAACCAGAGGCTCTGCCTGATAAAGTGCTACTGTCTTTTCATACATGAATGTTTCTTCTCAAGAGAGAGACAGAGAGTCAGAGCATGAGGAAGAACTATGCTAAAAATAAAATGAGGAAGAAATGCTTTTTTTTCTGCGTTAGTTTCTTATTTTCTTATTTATTTTTTTTCGCTTTTTTCTGCTGCAGACTCAGCCAGAGAGGAGCCCTTACCTGACTTGCTGCCCCAGAATGAGCCCCCATCCTGGGCTTCACCCCATCACAGACCCCCCAGGGCAGAGGCAGTGCAGGAGCTGGAGGTCAGGAGAGTGGCCGACCAGCTGAGGGCCATTGGAGATGAATTTAATGCCACAGTCCTCCACAGAGCGGTAAGAGCAGGGGCAGGGCTTCAGTGTGAAATGTAGAGTGTGTTTAGTTGTCAACCTTGAGTTAGTTAGGTTGACATTTTTGTATTTCTCACAAAATACTAATGTAGATAAGTTAATATGGAGTCTTGAATAGAAAGGAGTGTTTAACAAAAAATGATTTTCGGGAAGTTCTTGATGATGATTCAAAATACTCCTTCAGCAGACGTGTAAAAATGATTTTATCTTAGGAGTATATGCTTTTCTAGTCTTTTCGACCACTCAAAGCGCTTTTACACAACCTCACATTCACACACATTCATGCACTGAGCCTAAGTGCTCAAACAGACACTAACATTCACACACATTCAATCACTGGCGGAACAGCCGACCTTCCGATTAACGGGCAACTCGCTCTACCTCCTGAGCCACAGCTGCCCGAGAAAAATGTAAGCCAAACCAGTCTCCTCCAGAGCATATATTTATTTTTCAAAGCGGCCCATGTTTCGCTTTTGTTTGTGTGCACAAAAAAACGTGCACGTTCACAAGCGAAAACAACAATTTCACCTCAGTCAGAGCCGTTATGTCGTCTCAGCTTCCTCACTTACAAACACGCACACGTGTAAAATTTGATTTTATCAGAGTAACAGAAGGCCACAAGCTTTTCTGTTTCCCTTTTAAAAAGTTGTGATTGAGATATTGACACATGCCGTCAATCAGATGATGAACACACTTAAAACTTTCATTCATCGCAGTGAGGGTACAGGCCAGAGGGGATTTTCAGTGTTTTCCCTACATGTGTGTGTGTACAGTGTTTAGTGTGTCCTTGAATACAGCACAGTCACATTGCTTCTTATCAGTCCAGTGTGTTCTTGCCTGGATGAGCATGTGAGTGTGCATGCTTGTGTATGTGTTGTATGTTATGTGTGTGTGTGTGTGTGTGTGTGTGTGTGTGTGTGTGTGTGGCATTAGTGATCAGCACAGATCAATACATGCATGTGTGTGAGAGATTAAATCGATGTCATGAGTGTGCTGTGAGCCAGGTTTTATCTTCCTTCCTTCATCCTCTTCCTCTCTTCTGTACTTCCTCCCTACTTACACTTTCTTTTCTTCTCTTTCTTTTTTTTATTGTTAATCTTTATACAAATTATAGTCCTTCCTTTCTTCTTTCTCTCCTCACTCCCTCAATTGATCTCCCTCCCATTTCACTTTTTTCTCTTACACCGTTTCCATCCTCGTCACTCTTCCTCCATTCTTTATCATTCTCTATATAGATTCAATAACATGATTTGGTACAGTAGTTTTCAGAAATAATTCAAAATGTAATTTTTTTTACCTAAAAACAACACAAAAGACTTCACACATTCAAATAATCCTCGCTGACGTACAGATTAAATGACAGTGTTTTCCTCCTCTGCTGTCTATCTGATCCTTTTTTTTATTGTTATTGCTTTATCTCCTCCCTCCCTCCCTCTGTACTCTAGATCGCGTGAGGAGTTGGCAGCAGCTCTCCCTCCTCCACCGTCTCCCCCGCCACACATACGCACACACACACCTCCCCACTGCTCTCTCTCTCCCTCACCATCCCGCCTTTTGCACATAAACAAAGATGACATCAGCTACTCTTTGCTCTGACTCAGACATGGATGGTACACACACACTTTATGAGGGTGAAACAGGCTCTTTGCAGCCATGTGCAGCGGGTTTCTACGGTTCTGCTATCTGTCTGCTGTGTGCATGTGTGTGTGTGTGCATGAGAAACACAGACAGATACTTTATTCTCAAGGGGAAATTGAGGAAATTGTGCATGTGTGTGTTGTTTATAACCCAGCCGGGGCCAAGAGCACAAAGAGATGCTTTTTTCTAAACGAGCAATGAAACAAAAGAAATAAGGAAAGGAGGGATGTAGATTGTAAAGGAAGGAGTTAGGGAAGAAGGGATGGAGGGAGGGAAGGTTAACCACAGGCATGGGAGGTTCAAGCAGTTCTTAGTAGCATCCTTAACACAGACACACTTGTTTATCTTCCTGTTCGAGCTGGCTGAGTGTTCCTCATAATTTCATGCAGACATGTAGTCTCTCTTTCTCTCTACTGCATCCTTCCCTTCTTCACTCCTCTCCCCAAAAATAACATCATGTTACATTTTTGCCTGCCAAGTCCTCTGTCTTTATGAGATATCAAATAATCAGCTTAAAGGATTTTTTTCCCTTTTGTTTTTTAGTTTTCATATGGTCTGTTTTAAACATTTGGCACGTTTGACATGTGTTCAGAATAAATCGTCATCCTCTGAAGCACTTTGAGAACAATCACATGAGCTCAGTCAAACTAATTTAAACACTTACAGGTTCTAACATTTTTGTGGATGTCTACTTCAGCACCTTTGGAAAAGAGCTGTCTTTCTTATCTGCTGCTACACATGTCAACAGGGACAATGGGGAACAGCATTGTATGAGCTGTTTGTAGGTCACTTTGTCAATAAATGCGCATTGTTTAGCATCTTGGTTTCCCTAAAAAGGTCAGATATTGAATAATCCAATGAGTCTGTGTTTTGTTTGGACTAACAAATCTCTCTGTCTCTCTCTCACAGCATGCTGCCCCTCACTGGCAGGACTGGAGAGAGGCCTGCCGAGGACTTTTCAACTTCATCACCCAGACTGTCAGCACTCTCTACAGGCTCACGTAGAGGGAGGCACCTCTCACCTCCAACCACCGGTTATCATTTTTACATTCAGGACTTGAAAACGGAACAATCCTGAACCTGCAGGATAAACGTGCCCTGAAATCAAACATTTGCTTGAACAGAAAGAATTTGTAAGGATGAGATCAGCAGCTGGAGGTGTCGGTGCCACCTGTGGGCTGGATCAGGGTGCTACCTGTGGAAACTGGACCCTGCCTGTCTGTCTGTCTGACAGTCCGTCTGTCAGTCAGTCTGCTGGTACAGACTGGATCTGACGGACCGACTGCCGCTTTCCTATCTGTATATTTTGTAAAATCCACTTGCTTTCACTGTCTTTGTCATCGTCTCGGGGGTCAGCTCTTTATGTAGCAGGCGTGACTCAAGTGTGTGTATGTGTGTATGCGCGTGGCAGACCTTGGTCAAATGGAAAGGTTGTGTACACTGAGATGTCATTGCAGAGACGTTTATATTCATTTTGGAAAATACAGATATTTCAAAATTGGCCTGTCAGTAGTACAGATGAGTCTGTTTGGAAGTGAAGGTCTTCATTATCTTTTGGAGTAGATGCTATACATCAGTTCATCCCTTTGTAAAATCTTCTTCTGTGGAAACTTTATCCTTCAGACACCCTCTGATAACCTAATTTAGAGGATCACACACATGATTTGAACATGGTCTGATGTGCACGTATTACTGTTGTGTCTTTATTTTGCCCCCATTCTTAAAAACTGTGAAACTGGACTCCGTGTTTGCATCGCAGGGAAAAGTCGGGTGTTATTCCTTTATGCCACAGAGTGAACCTCTCTCCCAATCTGAAACTGCTTAATTTCATCATATGACGTGCCTTTCTGCTCAGCGCTCTGTTGAGGCCTAATCTTTAACATCAGGACAATCAGCCACACACACACACATTCAAATAAATATACACACACTCTCTTCAAGTGCTTTGTTTTCAGTCTCAAAACTCAAGTGTCATTTGCATCACATTCAATAGTTTAGCGACAGCCTGGTTTGAGGTCATTTAAGGACAGAAACAGCTTAATCCCCGGCAAGCACACACACATTTTGCCATTCCACCGTTCATACAGCCAGTGTTGGGAGCTGGAAGGTCTCACCCGTCTGTGTCGACAATGTTTATAGTTACTTGATCGTTTGTAAATATTTTTTTGGAAGATGAATTTCATATGAACGTTTTGGTGGACTTGTAAAGTACCCATCAAAGCCAGAGTTCACTGTGTTTGGGAGATCTTGTTTGTATTTCTGAGCAGAGTTTGAATTTAAATCCAGTGGATTTGAGATGGGATTCCATGAGTTAAAGAAAAATATATGATTTGGATATTTTGATTGTTGAAAAGTATTTGATGATGTTTGTAAAAAAAAAAAAAAATGACCCCTTCAGTTGTGCGATTATTTTCATTGTAGTTTGGGAGACAATGTTAATTGCTCGTATTAAGGGCATAATTTATTTTGGAATGTAGCCTATCTGTAGCTTGTTTTTTTTTTGGTTCCTTGAAAATTTCTGATTTTGTTTTTTATGTATTATGTACTATTTATTTTTTTCCAACGTTCCTGATCAAAACTACAAATTAAGTTGTACTTGTTGTGGTAACTGTTAAAACAGAGATTGAATAAGATGGAAGCAAAATCTGTCAAAATACACACTGAAAGTGGAGACATCACTTTAAAAAGCAGAAAAAAATAAATTTCTTGGTATCATCTTTATGATAAAAAAAACTGGCTCAATGGTTTAAAACGGTACTATGCTTTAAAGCAATGGTCTTAATATTAACAATTTACTGATATATTTATTATATATCACCTTCTGTTATTTTTGTGTTTGACACATAAAGCAAAACAAAATGTAAGTGTCTTAACAGAATGACGCAGACCTCTCCAGAAACTGAAAGTGATGTTTTGGCTTTCAGTGTGTATATCAGATGAAATGGACAAGTACCAAAATTCTTCCTTTATACTCTTTATAGCACAAAGAAGACGACATAAGAGCATCACAGACTGTTAGCAATACTCAGAGTTTTTGTTAAACGGCTCAAACTGACTAAACTGAAAAACCCCTTTCACTGAAAATCAGCTGGTTCTTTCTAATTTTCAATGTAAATTTAATTCCAAAACTCATTGTCTGTGTGATTTTGGACAGTGCAAGTGCGACTGGTGCTACACATGCTAAAAACATACATTTATGTACTGTAACATACTTTTAATTTAAGTGAATTTCAACTTTCATTTCAGGAAGCATTCGACTTAAATGTTGGCCCTTATTGACCTGTCACACAAAATGCCTCTAAGATGTGGTTGGCTGTGGTGAATATGTTTCATCAGGATTTGCCATACACATTATTCCACTCTGACTGGGCCTCAGCTAAACAGCTTTGGATGTTTTTAGCACAGGGCCTTGTTTTTTTAACATTTCTGAAAGCCTTGGTGTATAAAGTCATACCACAGCCTGCAGATGTTCAGCTAGCATTGGGGCTAAACTGAGAACAAACTATGCTAGCATGGTAGACGCTCGTTTACTGCTTGTAAATTCATATTTTCAGATCAGCCCTACAAACGGGTTTAAAGAAAGTCTAAAATCTGAAGGTGACAGCTAACCTGGCACTATGTGCACGTGCAGTTGCTCACTCTCTGGTTGTTTTTCTTGTGAGAGTGCACTTCTTGGTTCAGGACTGGCCTCCCTGCTACGACGCTCTGTCATCACATGCAGTGTGTATTTGCTGTTTTTCGACTTTTTTCTATTGTGAACTTTCTACTGGAATTTTTGTACTTTTTTCTTTTTTTATACAATAAAGATAAGGAGAACTATATTCATTTGTTTGGTGTTTCATGTCTTAACATTAGACGCAGTAGATGCAGTATGTATTGTATGTATGTAAAACTAAAATAAATTACGTTACATATTACAAGGACTAATATTTAATTTTTGATAAAATATGAAACCATTGCCAATTAAAGTTTTTAGAATTTCCTTGTCTTGCACTGTGATAACATATAATCATGTTTCATGTAACGACCCACAGTATGAGTTGTTTAATATTTCTAAAAGAAACTTCCATAGTTTTGTCATTTAATCCCACCGTTCAGGAGTTTTCAAGTGACTGATTAACTGGCTGGTATATTTTGCTGAAATTGTTTTAAGATTTTTCCACACTTGTTACAGCATGTCTGGTAAATCAATCTGGTACAGTGCATCAAATGGTAACGTTTATGTTTTACTGTACGCTGTCCCTTTTAAATAAATTAATGAATAATAATGTATCTAGTAAAAATACCTCGACTATTGCAATGCCCTCCCAGCGGGTCTTTTAGCTTGTGTGGTGAAACCCCTAAAAAATGGTTCAGGTTCAATATTTTGATCAGCCCAAAAAGACTCATGTCACTCCATAACTCAGTGACCTCCACTGGCCACCCATGACCTCCTGAATCAAATACAAGTCACTAATGCTGCACACAGGGTGACTACTGGGTCTGCACCCATCTACCTAAACTCCATAATACAAGCTTACATTCCTTCTCGGCCGCTACGCTCCTCCAACGAAGGCCGCCTGGCTCTGCCATCCCTTCACACAAAGCAATCTCAGTCCCTGTTCTCATCTGTGAACCACGATGGTGGAACGAGCTACCACATGCCATCAGAGCAGGGGCGTCCCTCTCTAACTTTAAGAAGCTCCTGAAAACTCTTCAGAGAACACTTTCTCTTATAACACCTCTAACGCCTAACCTCTATCATGCACTTCATGTGCTCCTCTTCTTCTATCACCTTACAATTCTCTTGTATTTATTGCACTATTCTTTAACTCTTGCTTCTTCACTAGGTATTTATCTCATGGACGCTATACGCACTAATAGCTCTTACTAATATTTATTGCTTTATTGCTGCTTTTACTTGTATCTATTGTCACTTGCAGATCTCTTACTTTACTGATGCTTGTATGTTGTTCCTCTAATGTGCGTCACATTGGATAAAAGCGTCTGTCAAATGAGTTAATGTCATGTAACTAACATTGTTTTGGAGCTGTAAAAAGACGACTTGTAAACTTAAATAGTCCAAGGAAAGACTTACCAAGACAGGAACTACACCAGCTGGGAGTTTCACAAATAAACCTGTTCACTATAGAATTTTCCTTGGTGACGCTTAATGAAATTATTTGCAATGTAATGTAATGTAATGTAATGTAATGTAATGGCTTGTCCAGAGAGACATACATATGAGGTATAATCGGATGACGCCACTCTGCCAGGACAGCAGCAGTTTACTGGAATGTGGTTCAGCAGATGTTTACAGATGTTGGTGGGCGGAGCAGCAGCCCTCTGGCCATGCGTGACAGTGGATGGACAGACACCGCTGCGGTTCTTGATCACATCTGGAGAGCAGCACGGATTAGAAGACATGAGGTCAAGACCCTCGCCCACACACAGAGACGCACCACAAGTGTTTACAGTGATGGTCAACATGACAGTCTGGTGCAAGAGGACCGGCACCAAAATACTTACTCCAGAACATGTTTCTGTGCTTTTAAAGTAGCCTTGAATAATCCTTGTATTGCATGGTAAATACAGTGTTGTTAATGTTGTGTGGAAATGTCTTTCCAGCGTGATCCAGAAGGAATGTATCAAAGGACTTAATCAATTATTGTTTTTAATCATTTATAATCTGGTTAGTTTGTTTATTATTAAACCAACATTTAACATAAGAGAAACACAAGTGCATCACTAGTGAATAAACAAAAAGGTGACACATGAAATTAAATGATTACAGACCAAAACAGATTTCTGATGGCTTTGACCTTTCCATTAAAGGACGTTCTCACTAGTTACTATACCATTCTATGCACTTCCAAGTAAATATTTGTGTTATTTTCAGATAAATAAATGTCTCTTCTGCTAGCCAAAATAACACATTAATCAGTGCTTGATGTCTGGTGACACCCAGAAACACGTGTTTCACAGTTATAATTTGTCTAAAAATAAATCTGCATTTGGGGAGTTTCTGGGTTAAGGGTCTGGTAATGAACCTAAATGTCCCTGTCTGGATCATTGTTTTGACAATTGTCATGCTCTTCCCCACCTCTCTTCCTGTTCTCACTCTATTGTCGCAATCTAATAAACGATTATTATTAGGACAATCGATTGTGTATAATTAAATTACCATGGCACCCTGTTTTTTTTAGCTGTTATTGTTTTTTTAATCTTTAGAGCTGAAATGATACAAGTACTTTGATAATTGATTCATCACTTTAGTCATTTTTCAAGCAAAGATACCAAACACGGGCTCAAATGTGAGGATTTTACTTTTCTCTTTGTCATATGTGATATTGGACTGAATATTTTGGGGTTTTTACACTTTTGGGCGAGTAAGTTATTTAAGGGTGCCACATTGTGCTGCAGAAAATTATTAACAGCCAATTTTCATTATTTTCTGACACACAACACACAACGATTCATCAATAAATCAAGAAAATAAATGGCAGAATTATTGGGCTTTACATAACAAACAAAGGGAAGAATTCACCAGTTTACGAGGAAGAGAAAGGACCTCGTGGCAACCAGCACACACACACTTGTCTGTTACTGAGTCATCAGGCAGTATTGAGACTAGATATCCTTACTTAAACTCCTCTGCAGAATGAGCCAATCATGCAGCCCTCAGAGCTAAATCAGGGATCTGATTGGTGGCAACAACAGGCACTTGGTCTTTGCTGCTAAGTGGAGGCGAAACAGAGAGAGTGACCGCACAGCAGGGGCACTGGCTGGGGTTTAAATGTGTGTGTGTGTGTGTGTGTGTGGGAGTGAGAGAATTTAAGAACAAGAGAGAACATGAAAGAGAGAAAAATGAGAGAAGGAAGATAAACGGGGATGGAGAGAAAGAAATAAGTATAGTAGAGTCAGCATGTGAAGTGTGTAAAGAGTGCAATGAATGTGTGTGTTTGCAGATAAGAGTTTAGCTTTAATTAAAGGGGCAGAATGAGCTTAAAGGGACGTTCCATAATTAATCTCCTTTCCTAATCCCAGGAAAAGAGCAGTGGCACCCTGTGCTGCCTAATCGCTCCTCTGGTTTAATTTCAAGGCTCCACTTGTTTTGGTGCTCCGCAGCCCTCAGTCAGCTGTAAAAACAACACCACTCAAAAGTATACTTGTGTTACTCCATATGTAGTCATGGGTATTATTTTCTACCCAGCCTCTCGCTCATTCATTTTTTAAATTCTCTCTATTCTCAATCACAATCTGTTGATCCTATCTTAATAACACATCCAATTGTCACAGATTAAATTAAAAAAAAAACCTCACAAACAGGGGATTTAAAGTCTCCCTTTATACGATTTGTGTAATATATGTATTCTTGCCTTCACACAACAAACTGTACTGAACTTCATATTAAAAAAGGTGGGAATTAGATCTGGCAGTCGACTTAGAGAATATATCTGTAAGTCATCCAAAAGTCCAAATCACAAATTAATTCACTGCAAATTTTGCAACAGAATCAATTGGTTCCCTATTTTAAGATACAAAAGAGGTTTATTTCAAGTCCAAATTGTGTTCTGTGTGTTCTTCTGTGAGTCTTTTGTTGATGGATATCATTAGGAATTTTCTGTTACAGTAAAGTTATGTTTTTTACAGGACATTGTGATGATGGAAAGTTTCAAGGCTAGAAATGTGGGGGGGGAAAAACTGCTTCAGCAGATATTGCATCTATGACTTATAGTGTATTACTGATTCAAATTCTGATAAGATACATTTTTGGTAAACAGCACCCGCACTGCTTTTACCATATCTGCTGTTGCTGCAGATGTCATACAGCAGTCAGCAGTTGCAGAGGACTGCACCAAAATGAGTGTAATTTGTTCCATTTCCAGTTAGATATATCTCTACAGTTCAGGTTTCACAGGTCTGGCGTGTTAAACAGGTTCAACCACCCACTACCAGGGGCTGAGGTCAGACATGAGACCATAATGCTGGTTTTCCCCCTTTGTAATGCTCTGTTCTTGCTGCCTTGTTTGTGAGGAAGAAGATAGAAAATGCTTTGAGTTTGTCCCTAGGCTCATTGAATGCCTGTCCCCGCCCTTTCCTATTATTCTGCTGCATGTTGCGCGTCACTGAGACACCATAGAGCCATGTTTGGTTCGATGAGTCACATCAAGGTGGTGAGAGGTTATTACCAAATACAGTCATACACTTTGCTGAACATCATATGCCTGACAACTGTCTTTCCCCTTCAGCTCAGATACTGACTTACTGTATTCAAATCCACCACACTGATTTGTTATATTACAAGTGAGATTCTCAGTTTGACCAAAATATTTCTAATAATACTGCCCTTCATTTTTAGACTGTTTCAAAATTTCAAAACACTTTTTATACATTGAAATCAAGGCCACCATATCTCAAGGCTGTGCCTTTACACAAAATGGAAAGTCAACAATGTTTCAGACAGATTTCCTTGTAATCCACAGCAACACCTCAATACAATACAAGGTGAAGCTCTTGCGTTTGAACCCTGCACATAAGTTTGTAGTGATGACACAAGGGTGTGTGGGGTTTAAGAGCTGAAGTGAAAGAGTGAAAAAGCTTACAGTTTTTCCCAGTCAATTGTCAAACTATATGACTGTTGTTATAAACATTAGGTCAGTTGTTCACATGACTACAGTCGTTTATAATTGCTTTGGCACAAAATGCACTGAGTAAGCCTTGCAGATCAAAATACACTGCTCAAAAAAATAAAGGGAACACTAAAATAACACATCCTAGATCTGAATGAATGAAATAATCTCATTAAATACTCCTTTCTTTACATAGTTGAATGTGCTGACAACAAAATCACACAAAAATGATCAATGGAAATCAAATTTATCAACCCATGGAGGTCTGGATTTGGAGTCACATTCAAAATCAAAAGTGGAAAACCACACTACAGGCCGATCCAACTTTGATGTAATGTCCTTAAAACAAGTCAAAATGAGGCTCAGTAGTGTGTGTGGCCTCCACGTGCCTGTATGACCTCCCTACAACGCCTGGGCATGCTCCTGATGAGGTGGTGGATGGTCTCCTGAGGGATCTCCTCCCAGACCTGGACTAAAGCATTCGCCAACTCCTGGACAGTCTGTGGTGCAACGTGGCGTTGGTGGATGGAGCGAGACACGATGTCCCAGATGTGCTCAATTGGATTCAGGTCTGGGGAACAGGCGGGCCGGTCCATAGCATCAATGCCTTCCTCTTGCAGGAACTGCTGACACACTCCAGCCACATGAGGTCTTGTATTGCATTAGGAGGAACCCAGGGCCAACCGCACCAGCATATGGTCTCACAAGGGGTCTGAGGATCTCATCTTGGTACCTAATGGCAGTCAGGCTACCTCTGGCGAGCACATGGAGGGCTGTGCGGCGCCCCCAAAGAAATGTCACCCCACACCATTACTGACCCACCGCCAAACTGGTCATGCTGGAGGATGTTGCAGGCAGCAGAACGTTCTCCACGGCGTCTCCAGACTCGGTCACGTCTGTCACGTGTGCTCAGTGTGAACCTGCTTTCATCTGTGAAGAGCACAGGGCGCCAGTGGTGAATTTGCCAATCTTGGTGTTCTCTGGCAAATGCCAAACGTCCTGCACGGTGTTGGGCTGTAAGCACAACCCCCACCTGTGGACGTCGGGCCCTCATACCATCCTCATGGAGTCTGTTTCTGACCATTTGAGCAGACACATGCACATCTGTGGCCTGCTGGAGGTCATTTTGCAGGGCTCTGGCAGTGCTCCTCCTGCTCCTCCTTGCACAAAGGCAGAGGTAGCGGTCCTGCTGCTGGGTTGTTGCCCTCCTATGGCCTCCTCCACGTCTCCTGATGCACTGGCCTGTCTCCTGGTAGCGCCTCCATGCTCTGGACACTACCTTCTTGCCACAGCTCGCATTGATGTGCCATCCTGGATGAGCTGCACTACCTGAGCCACTTGTGTGGGTTGTAGACTCCGTCTCATGCTACCACTAGAGTGAAAGCACCGCCAGCATTCAAAAGTGACCAAAACATCAGCCAGGAAGCACAGGAACTGAGAAGTGGTCTGTGATCATCACCTGCAGAACCTCTCCTTTAGTGGGGGTGTCTTGCTAATTGCCTATAATTTCCACCTGTTGTCTATTCCATTTGCACAACAGAATGTGAAATTGATTGTCAATCAGTGTTGCTTCCTAAGTGGACAGTTTGATTTCACAGGAGTGTGATTGACTTGGAGTTACATTGTGTTGTTTAGGTGTTCCCTTTATTTTTTTGAGCAGTGTACTTTGCATTTGTTCACTGTTAGATCATATTTCTCTAAAATGCAATTATACACATGTTCATTGTGTAAATCCCTAAATGTAAAATCGAGTAACCAAAAATTACAATAACTTGTCACTCATATATTAGAGTTATAATAGTTATGTGGTATTGTTGTAAAAGTTGTAAGATGGATAGACTTTGGCTTTGACAATTCTATTTCCTCACAATTTAGATCAACCAAAAGCTACTGTTGTCCAATTTAGCTGACAGGTAAAACTCATAACCAGTCAGTTCTCAACCACATTTATACTGCAGGGGTAAGACTCAATGTAACAGAGACAGACAGGGGCAAGAGTCTGCCCGTGCAAGAGGAAGCGGCATTAGAGCACGAGGTGGTTTGGTGAGTGGGAGTGGAAGAGTGAGAGAAAGGCAAAGACACTGAGAAATCTCAAATGAGACACAGGCAACAATTATAGACCATGTAATCGACCATGGCCTAAGTATGACAGAGGCTGGTCAGACAGTGCAGCCTAGTCTGGGCCGGTCCACAGTGTCGTCAAATAAATGTTTTGTTGAAAATACAGTGTGTGCCATGGCTGACATTAATACTATTCAACTGCCGAGAAATACAATGTTAGCAATTGGACAGTATTTCTTAGTGGGTAACTATCACACTTTCAGAGTCATTTGATAAGATGTCTTTGCATTTTGACCGTCTTTGTCTAAGCAATGATAAAGAACTCTTGTTTTTTGCAGGTCACAGTGCTGAATGGGCCGCCTGGTGTGAGGGTTGTACTTAGAGTTTTGACAGTTGTAAGTTTGTTTCAGGTAATGTGCCAGTTTGATTGAGCAAAATTATAACTTATTTATTGAATTAAAGTATGATTTGATTATGATGATTTAGACTTTTTTTAATTTTCAGAGAAAACAGGATTCCGATGCAACACTATAGCTGAAGTACCGGATACACCAGATATCAGATGTACAGGCACAAAACAACATGATTGTTTTGTTTAATAAATCCAGAGACCTGGGGCAGAAATCTTTTACAAACGAGTGTTTTATTAGGAAATGTATAAAAAAACTAAAAAACAGTGTACTTGAGACCAAATTAATTTTATGACATAAATAGTCTGACGGAACAAACTAACACAGATACAGAAGTTTGCTGAACTTGTATTTGTGTGTAAAACTGTCCTGTGCACAAGTGTGACGCGTTTAGTTTGGTCCGAAGAAGTCGACCACGCCGTTGCCTTTACGGCCATCGAAGAAGAAGAAGTTCCGGTGTGGAGGGTCTCTTTGGGAGAGAGCCTGAAGGGAAAGACATACGTAGAGAGGAGAGAGATAAATTACACTTTCCAAAACAGTTTTCTTGACAAGAACCATCAAGGTATTTTGAGGATCCCATAGAGAATTCATATCTGAGTCAGTTCGAGTGAAAGTTTCAGTGTACCCACCAGTACGACCAGAAGCTACTATTTTAATGCCAGTTTTCCATTTTTCAGAGCATGCAGACCCACAAAACAACTGTCTGTCACACTTATCAGTGGTTAAATTTCCCGTGTGTGAGTGAAATCAGTCAGGTTCACCCGGCCAGCCGGTCAGCCAGTTGCATAGTGTTTCATCATCATCATCCAGACGGTTTGGCCTTGGCCAATATAATGCAGTCTGATTCTGAACTGTCAGACACTGAACTGAACTCCTGTTTACCTCAGCCAGACGTCACTGCAGCACAAGTGAACTTTTATTCAGCCCATTAGTCCATTTTCTCTCTATTTGTGCATTAAATATTGATTCTGTTTTTATCTGTGACATGAATCTTAATCATTCTAACAACCTTAGTTAAAATCCTGAGTCTTGAATCAAAAACAAAGTCACTAAACAGGCATAATGTGTCTCTAAAGATCCTGTCAATGCAAGAATTCATAGTGAAACCACGTAGAAACCAAGGAAGGGTTGACTGATGTTTTGGTTAGTGAATGGATTTTCATCTAACTTTAAGGAATGATGCATCTTATTAAATCAGCTTTGGGTTTTTTGTTTTAAATTGTACTGGTTAGCCTGAGGGATCAACATAACAATGTGCTGTCAGTGTGTCGAGCATACAGATTGCTTACATATCATCAGTGGTCTGTGTGATGCGTTTGTGTCTTTGAGCTGCTAATATAATTACTTTTTACCTTCTTTACTCTCCAACATCCCCAGAAACCCCACATCGGTGCAGCTCTATGTGAGCTGTTAGTGTCACTGTTCAGTCATATGTTTTTCCTCGGACTCATCCTACTAATGGTCCCCTAATGGGTTTTTTTTTTATGTGGCAATATCAATACGTTTATTATGTTGTTCAGCTGAAGGACAGTATAAATCATTTCCCTTTTCAGGGGCCGCTGCCAGAGCATCACACTGAGTTTCACTGTGGTCACAGTGAAAATGACTTCTGCACAGAGCAGAGTCGCTGCAGTTTTTCTGAAGCTGACCCAGAAACCAGCTGAGTGGCCACCTGTCAGCTGACTGACTCCCTCACACCAGACTGGCCATCTTCATCATTTACTACTGCAGAGTGAAAATCGTAAGGTGCATCAGCACAAACACATTCAGAATGTGTCCTGAAGTTATGATGCTCCTATATTACTGTACACATTTACAGATCGCCTAAAAAGCTCCCTAGTGTTTACATGCTTACCTTGACAACTTCCTGTCCCAAAACTCCTCCCAGGACGGCGCACACTGGAGACATCTCAGAGAAGCAGTAGCTGAGAACAAAAAGTACAGAGAAATATGTGACTAAATAGAAAGTGCGATATTAAGGAACTGAGAAAAAAAACAATCTCCGTCTGGCGCTCTGCCAGCTGATTTATGTGTTTTGCTGTCTGTGAGTCCCTTCAACCCCCCCCCCCTCACACTCTCAGTCACTGTCTTGTTGCTCACCTCTGTCCCCTTTAGAACTGTTACAATTCACCACAAAAATTAATAACTCCACCTGCAGTTTAGACCCCATCCCATCATCCCTAATCCCTGATCAAGACCTGCCTCCAATCCATCATTCCACTCATCATCAAAATCATTAACTCCTCCCCTCACATCTGGATCAGTCCCCACAAAACTCAAAGTTGCAGCTGTCACCCCCATCCTCAAGAAACCTGGTCTCAACCCCCGACATCATGTCCAATTTCCGACCTATCTCCAATCTCCCATTCCTATCAAAAATCCTGGAACGTCTTGTCGCTGCTCAAATTTAAACAACTAACAACCAGTTCAAACCATTTCGCTCTGGATTCCGCTCACAACACAGCACTGAAAGAGCCCTCCTCAAAAATAACCAATGACCACCTCCTCTCCGCCGGCTCCGGTCACCTCACCATCCTAATCATGCTCAACCTCACTGCAGCGTTCGACACCATCAACCATTCCACTCTTCTCTCCCGACTGGAAACTTACTCAAATATCACGGACACCGCACTCTCCTGTCTCCGCTCTCACCTCACCAACAGTTCATCAACATCAATAACTGCACCTCCTCCACTGCTCCTTTGTCACAAGGCGTCCCCCAAGGTTCGGTGTTTGGATCTTCTCCTCTTCATCATTTACATCCTGCCACTCGGTAATATCATACGTAGAGATAGTCTCCACTTCTACGCTGATGACGTCCAGATCTACATCTCCACCAAATCCATCACCACAGTTACCTCTGCAACTCGGACCAACTGCCTCACCGACATACAAACCTGGATGCAAACCAACTTCTTACAATAAATCTGACATGAACATCATCGGCCCCAAATCATTCACAAAAAACACAGACAACTTCAGCCTTTCCATCAACAACTCCAGCTTGTCTCCATCCCGACACAGCTGCAACCTTGGAGTCATCTTTGACAGCGACCTCACTTTTGAACACCACATCAACCATGTCACCAGGACTGCCTTCTTTCACCTCAAAAACATTGCCCATCTCCATCCATTACTCACCTCTGCTGCTGAACCCCTGATCCACGCCTTCATTACATCCATAATTGACTACTGCAATAGCATCCCCTATGGTTTACCTGCTAAAGCCCTAAATAAACTTCAATATATCCAAAACTCTGCTGGCCGCCTCCTCACCCACACACGCATTCAGTACAAAATCCTCCTCCTCACCCATAAAGCCCTCCATAACAAGCCCTCCCTTCCTGCCTCACAGACCTGCTCCACCACCACAATCCCTCCCGTAACCTCCGCTCCTCTGACTCCAACTTCCTCTCACCACAAATCAGGACCAAGCACCTTACCTGGGGCGATAGAGCTTTCACCATCGCAGCCCATTCCCGATGGAACTCCTTACCCATACCCATCCGAGACTGCAACATCATGGACTATTTTAAATCACTTATTAAAACACACCTTTTTAACATCAAATAATGTTATTTTGCACGTGCTGCTGTTTGTTATTTGCCCCTCTTATGTATTTACGCACCACATGTTTTTATCTACTGTTTGTATATTTTATATTATGCTATTTATGTTTTTAATCTGCTTTAAATGTACATAACTTCTGGTTTTACTGTAAAGTGTCTTTGAGTGTCCTGAAAAGCGCTACAGAAATAAAATGTGTTACTATTATTATTATTATAGTTACTGCAGCGGCAAAATTTAACTAAGTGCCTTTTCACTTGACAGTGGAAGTAAAGACGTTTGGGTTAATCACAGTCTGCAATCGCTCCCTCCCACAAATGAAGGTAGATTATGTTAATGTGGAACACTAGTGTGAAAGTGGTTAGGCCACAGACTTTAAATAACATTGATGCACTGCTTCTGTCCGACCTCCACATTGTGGTAATGTGAAAGTGTAGTAATTAAGCTTCTGGTTATTGATCAACAAACTTCCAGGTTTTCTTATATTGTGATAAGATGAAATACATAATTTCATTTAAATAGAAAATCTCAAATTATAAAAGTAGAATTTCGACTATAATACATAACTAATGAGTAAATGGTTGATCTGGAGGACCTTCCAGGCTATAACCATCGTACCACCTGCAGTTAAAGGTTATTGTTGGGGCAGCTGATAACAGCATTGCCATGTAGGTGTCGTTTTGGTCATTTGCAGGTGAAAAGCTTATAACAATAATGATAATAATAACAACAACAACAATAATAAAAACAAGCTGAAATTTTTTAACCGTTATTTAAATGGCATTTCTTTGACTACACTTCAGCCTGCAACCGGTTCTACAGGGGATCCTGCACATATTTCAGGCAAAAGCGTTTACAAAGTAAAAAAGTTATCAATAGCCCCTTAAAGTGGCCCACAGAGGTCAGAGCAGTAGTGTCTACATGCTCACTGAAATACAAGGTTAAGTTTATTTGTGACTGACATACAGGACAAATTGGTGTTACTGGTGTTATGGGTGTTACTGGATCCTGCTGTCAACTTTCAGTTTCACTGTCCTTCTTTCAAGACACGTCAGCACTTTGTTCCACTTTAAGTGTGAATGAGAGTCTATTTCCTATCTGAGCGAATTATCCATTCAGTATCTCACTCGTGTAAAAAAGTCACGAGTAGAAGCTTTATACCTCGTGAAGTCATCATTCAGGAGGTCACTGCTTACTGCCAAGGCCTCAAGGACGTCATCGCGGATCTGTTTCAGGAGCTGATGGTCTTCTGTAAAGGATTGTGGGTCGGGGTCGCGACCTTTGTCTGTACGAAACTTCAACATAACTGTGGAGACGGACGGAAGAGAGGGGGAGAGCAGGAAGCAGGAGAAACAAACAGAGAGAAATAAACGACAGTTGAGGGGCTGGAAACAAGTTTAAAACATTTTTTTAAAGCAATATTTTCCATATCATCTATTGCCATTTATAATTTCATCACGCTTTCAAGTGACTTCCACGGTGAATTATCATCTTATGGAAAGACAACATCTCATCTTGCTGCTCCCTTTGAAACAGGATAAGATCAGTATGTGGTTGCACCATCAACCATTTTATCCGATTAGGCCTACGTTTCCCCCACATCAAATTAAGAGTGTGCATGCAAAGATGCAGAAACACACCTGCACATACTCAGTAAGGAAATACAAGGGTAAAAAAAAAACCCAACCTCTTTCAAGTGTCTAAGAGTCGGCTGCAGGACTGACTGAGAAATAAAAAAATCTGAAGTGTGCAATTTGGTCATGAACAATATTTCAAACAGCAACTTACTTCTCCAACTCCACCACACAGACACAAACATCAACACTACGCCCCCATATTTCCTGTTCGTCCATTAACTTAAACCACATGAGGAAGTCAAATCCTCCCACGGCCATTTCCACCAGCATGGCACACACACACACACACACACACACACACACACACACGAGTAGTGGCGATGAATCATTTTTGCACCTCAGCTCTGCCCTTTATCAGTGAAACTTTGTTAGTAGAAAGTAAAAGACTGGCACAAATGGCATCACACTCAGGTCTGTACGAGGCAGGAAATCAAAACAGAATTTCATAACAGAATATAATAATGTGCACATGGATGGAACAATGATAGTATCTCTAAACCTACACATGTAGTAGTGATAGTCTTCACAGATTAAAGTGGAAGGGAAATATTCGAGATGGCCCTTTATGTCGAAACCTGCATAGGAAGGTCAAATACAATAGGCAACCCCCCCCCACACACACATATAGACACACACACACACATACGCAGCATCTGTACAGTTAGTGAGAGTTCATGTTCATATCTACGTGTTTGTTAAAGCAAAACATGCAAATCTGTTTCAGCTTAGTCCAAACATTTATCTTAAGGAGTCCTCTTTTCCTTTCTTGTATTGTCAGGCTGCCTATAAATTAAAAAAGGGGAATTATGTAGATCAGAGATACTAATGATCACAAGTAAGCAAACACACACACACACACACACACACTCACTCCGCGGTTCAGATCACCCGACTGTTCCTAGTGAGACAGGAAGCAGTTGTAACAGAGGAAGAGCCACTTCCTCATCTGTCGCCCAAAAACAACAACCGCTAGCTCCAATTATAGAAACAGCAAAGGAATAATAACACTGCCTCCTGTTTCAAATTCACTAAATAAAAAAACAACTAGGTGATGTTTCCACTCAGAAATTAGCCTTAAACACGTCAGACTGAAGACAGGGCGAGGCTGCAGTGGGTAGGTGGGTTTCAGAGTGGGGAGTGACTAGACTAAAGGCCATGTGTGCTGGCACAAACCTAAAATTAACCAGACAAAATGTTCAGAATACAAATGTACCTCTAAATTATGAGCAAATTAGCTGTTTAGGAAACAAATCTACCAGACACCCACCGTCATATGACATGTCTGTATAACACTATATTGGTTTAAATTTTTTTTCACCCTGAAAATTAAAATCTGAAGAAAAAACACTTGCCATGTTAGCTTTTCATAAAAATATTTAGTGCTGGGCAACGATTAAAATTTTTAAATCGCAATTAATCGCATGATTTTCAGGTGCAAAATTGAATAATTCTAAAGTAGTGTATTGCACACTTTTAATTTAAATGTACTGCTGTATGTAAACAAAAGTCCAACAACATGTGGTTTGCAAACACTTTAAACAAACAAGGTGCTTCTTACCAGCAGTAAGTAGCAATAAACTATTTCTTGTAAATCTCAACTTAATGTAATCAAATCAGATATTAAACCAAAGCTGTTTGCCACTGCCAGGGAATTACCTTTTATCTAGCTTGTTAAAACAAGTTAGAGTCCAGAGTCCAGTTTTCTTGGGGGTTTTTTTCTGAACAGGTATCAGCAGAAACATTTTTCTTTTATCAGGGAACAGCATAAACAGTCTATGTTCAGTAGCAAGTGTCCCTGTCAGAGTGAGGTGAAGTGGTCGAGCACAAGGTGTAGTGACAAACGGGCGCGTTCCCGTGAAACTGTCGCGGTTGTGCACACGCCCGCCTTCTTGTCGGCGTTAATTTATTAATGCGTTAATGCGAAAATAACACTGACAAATTGCTTTGATTTTCTGGGAATGCATTAATATAATAATTTGAAGAAGTTTTCTTTCTGTTTTATTTTTTACTCATTTTAGTCTTTAAGCTTTTAACACATGAAATCTGGAATATTTCTAATTAAGACATTGTTAAAAGATTTTTTTGGTGGTGTGAGTGTACATGACAAAACTGCTAGTGCCACAATCCACACAAAACGAGGCTGATATCACTTTCTATAACTGAAGTTTGGATATACCAAGAGCACATTATGCCAATTTATCATAGCTTATTTCCTCTGTTCTTATATATGAAAGATACTGTGGTGTATTGGTATTTATGAGATAAAGCCTCCAGCTTGCAATACACCTTCCAAGTCCTCAGATCTTTCCATCAGAGAGTCACTGGCTGATGGACAAAAGGTCACAACATTTTCCTAAACGTTTACATAAAAAACATGAGATGGCCGCACAGATGTTAGACTTTCCAATCACCCTTCATGCTGCCTGGGTACGGGGGTCATTGCTTTTTTAGTCCAACTCCCAGCTTGTTGTAGTAATGCACCGCCATTTTTATTAGATGCACATTTTGCTAAGAATTTCACAATTAGTGGTATATTTTGATTCCTGAATTCTTTTAAATGTGATATAAACTTGCAGAACTGCATTGTTCCATTTGTGACCTATGCGTCCTGCCAAAACTATTGAATTTTGATGATTTACTAAAATGTATGCACAGAAAATAATTTTATAAATTTACAGGGGTGCACCCAATAACCATTTTCTGGTTATTTCCTGTTCTTATATGCTTGTTGTCATGCTGTGTAGGTGTCGGGCTGTTCTCTATTCTACGCTCAGTGCACATGACTGGCCATGGACAGCCTGTGATGGAAACTACCATGTAGTGTGTGGGGATGTTACAGGGCCAGGTGACAGGAGGGACAACAACAACTCTTAAGAGAAGGTCATCAGACACTGTAAATAACCTGAAAAACAGGAAGATACATTTAAGATTTTAAAAAATTCCTTTTGGTTGAATTTTCCTAAACATTTGACGGGACATATACGATTATTCATGTGCAACTCAGTGTAACAATATTCTTTTTTTCCTTTTTCTCCTCAAATTGCTGATTAAATTTTACAAAATCTAAATTCTATTTGTTTTTGTTCTTTTGAAACCCCACAAACATCTTTCGCAAAGGTTGACATCGAACACTTTGCACTTTACTCTAGAACAACATTTATCAAACTTTATGGACATGATTTTCCACGCACGTGCAATGATAGCTTATTAGCCAAATTAGAACCAGTGACTTTGCATGCTCATGGTTTGTGTTTCAGTCCCGCTGCAGGGTTCCTACGCATTTTCAGTTTCAAATTTCTATACCTTTTTAGACCTTTCAGGATTCTTTGTTATATTCGATCAATTCTCTGTATGGAAATTTTGTTTGTGTCTTTCCTCCTACACAGAAATGTCAGAAGACATGTTGTATACCACTAATTTAACTGATAGTTGCACAAACTATAATCTCATAATAAAAATTTAACAAATATGAATTCTTCACAAATATTTTACAAGACCAAAAACCAAAAATTTTGAGAAGATAATTCAAAAATATCACTAAGGAACTAAACAATTGTCAATTCAATTTCAAAACTTTTTAAAACCCTAGAAAAATCTACTTTCTAAAAAGGTTGAAACTATTAATTATCTTGATTATACATCAGTATAAACTGATTATATTTCCACTTAATTGATTAAATGTTGCAAAAGACAAATAATGCCCATAGAAGTTACCAGAGCTCAATTTTTGTTTTCTTGCAAACATAAAAAACCCACCAAAGGTTTTGAATTTACAACATAAACCACAGGAAAAAAAGGGGGAAAATGTCACATTTAGAACCAGTTACCACTAAAACTTCTGTACGTTTACTTGATCAATGATGTTTTATGAAATCACGCTGCAAGTACCGTGAAGTAGGAAGTAGTCCACTGGTGTTCGCTTCAGACCGGCTTTGGCCTTCTCGCTAGTCCAGTCAACCTCCAGTGCCTCCTTCAGAGTGCAGAAAGTGGCCGTCTGATTGGTTGGAGATAAAAAGAAAACTAATGTCAATATGAGGTGAACCAGTAGTGTAATAATTCATTCTTTCCTCATCTTAAAAGACAAATAGAAAGCAATGCGTGGCGGTCACTTGATTAGGGAACGCTATCAAAATGGATTTGTATGGATTTTATGTAAGTGTATATTTATATGCATTTGTAGCCATAAATGCAAAAAAAAAAAAAAAAAAAAAAAAAAAGCAGACAAACTGAGAAAACTGTATTTTAGAACAAATAGAAAAGATTTTGAAAAGATTTATCAAGCAGTCAGGCCAATAACAAACTAGTTCATGTTTGTAAGAAATAGCAGAAACGATGCAAAAGAAATTAATTTTGGATTTGTGAGGGGGAAAAAAAAAATAAGACAACCAGGCCTTACAAAGTGTTTTTCCATTTTGTGTAATTGTCTCAGTATGTTCCACTCCTCCTATCATGACTTACTCAGTTGAGTAACTCCAGCCTTGATTTAAAAAAGGAAGTATTTCATTCACTACCCATGCTGGTGATTTCCATCTATTTGCCTTGAAGACGCGTCTTTATATATGACAGCTATTTATACCAGGTTGGCTGTAGAATAAAAAAATAAAATAAAATTTAGTTGGCTGGGAAATTTGGTCTTCGTCCACCTACCTTTTTCACCATGGTGGTCTCGTTGGGGTCGACTTTGGCTTTCTTTGCTTCAGGACCGTCGTTAGAATTTCCAGTCGGTTTCACCAGTTTAGGTTTCTCCCTAAAAAGAGAAAGTGAAGAGAAAGATACTCAACATTATCAGAAAACATAACTGTCAGTATTACACTGTACATTACATAAACACAAGCACCTGTTTCATTCACTGGAGCTGCAGTGGACCTGATCGAAGTTTTGACTTACACAGATATTCAACTTTCACCGAGCTAAAATACGATTTTAAAGCCACTTCTTTACTGTGTGTGGATTTAAACATATGTGATTACTAAAAAAAAAAAAAAAGCAAAGATTTGTTACGTAATGTCATTAATTGTTAAATGTCAGAGCAAAAAGTAATAGTCTACACTGTAGTGCATAAATGAGTGATTTACTGATATGAGATGAGATACTTTATGGTACTTAGTTACTGTACTATGGTATTATCATCATCATCATCATCATCATTCTGCTGCTTCTAGGATTGGCACTGTGTTCTTCTGCTTTTGGGTTTTTGCTAGATATCTGACAATATGACTGCTTTAAACAACCATTAATATGCATCCGTTACCAAAAGCGCCTCAGACTGGATTTATTTCTCTAGGGAAGGTGGGGTGATTTTAAAATTACCTGCGCTCCTCAGAGATTTTAAATCCTGTGCGTAATTTTTCACTCCCATCCCAGTAATACATACATATCATTAAACTTAAATTAATATGCTGGGTTTTTAATTGCTTAATCCACTGAACTCACCTTGCCTATATACATACAGGCTTTTAATTACTTTACCACGCCAGTCAGTATGAACGCATGATATTTTGGGGCTCATTGTTTCTGCAAAATGAACTAAACAATTGATCTGTGGAGAATCTAACAAATCTATCAATGTGTAGCATGTCCAAATTGACAAAAGTGTAAACCTTTATATTGGTATGCACAATCTAAGCGGCTTAGCACAAGCAGGTGACCCGGTGGGTGTTAACAGGTTTTATACACCCAAAGAACTTCTATTAAAAACCAGATCAGGAGTCTAATTGAGACCTGCGTTTATTTGTCTAAAAGTATAGCTGCACCAAAAGGGACAAGTGTCTAATTGGTACTAGGCTTTTAATTGTTTTACGGTAGTGAATTCACTCTTGTAATTTACATCTCATCCTTGTATTTTAAAGTGGAACTTGCCCTTCTGCTTGATTTTTCGAATCTGTTGTTGTAATGTCAGCTACAAATGCACTGGTTTTCTCATTTTGGCCAGTCCTGCGGATCGTGCAAGCCTAAAATTTCAAGCTAAACACGCCACATTGAATTGCTGCCCAGCCCACACTTACTCAACGTAGTGGTGCTCCTGCCCAAGGTTGCAGAACATGTAACCGTAATAGCCATAGACGTCCCCACAGAAGACCTTGATGTTGCGCTGAGAACAAAGCTGGTCTACTCGCACCATCAGGTCTCTGGAGCAGCCCGTCAGACACACCTGAGGGATAAAAAACACAAATAGTCAAAAAGCCTGGTAAGAGAGGCTGCAGGTACAATTATATTTTATTAAACACTAGCTTTCCCCCTCATTTCTATTTAATGTTTAGTTGACTTTCTTCATCATGCATGTCATTCAGAGCAGTTTTATAACATTATAATCAGAAAAATAATGAAGGAAAATATTAGCCCTGGCATAGGCAAGTTAGAACGACTCAAACTTCACAACTTTAAACTCTTTGTAGAAATAAACAAGAACATGGAGTCCAAAGAGTTCACCGGAGTCAGTCAGAAACAGGTGCAACAGTGTTTTATTCTTTTTCAAGATAAAAAACCTGAGTTATACCTTAGCAGGCCTCAAGGTGATGAAACTGAATTTGCAAGCTGCTGTGGTCGTTTTATATAGCCCTTTTCAAACAATAAGGTATTTCTTTCTGGCATTTTAATGGTGTTTTATTACCCTGATGTCGCTGTTTGCTCTCTCTACAGGCCCCATCATATCTCGATTTGATTCATCAATGTGTTTCACTAACCTTCTCTACGAAGACAGTGCTATTAATTTACTTGTTATTTGTATCACTATTTGCGCCATCCCAGGGTAAATCTAATCCTAAACACCAATTATATGTGGTTATGTGCAAAAGTCCCAGAGGGTAGGCAACTGCACTGTGGGTAGGGTACCGAGGACAGAGCTTCCCTCCTTGCGGCTCCATAGGCTATTCTCGCAGTGCTCACTCTCTCTGCTGGCACACTCGTACACTTCTGCTAAAACACACCTGTCTTTGTGTTGACCGCAGGCAACGTTTTAAAGATATGATCTTATTTAAAATTAAGCACAGCAAAAAAATAAATAAAAATAAGTCCCTTTTTCAGGACACTGAATTTAAAGATAAGTCTGTAAAGATCCAAATAACTTTACAGATCTTTATTGTAAATGGAGTAAACAAGTTTTTCATGCTTATTCAACGAACCATAAACAAATCAATGAACATGCACCTGTTGTCGTTGAGAGACTAACAGCATCCAGACGGTGGGCAATTAAGGTCAGTTATTAAAACTTATAACACTAAAGAGACCTCTCTACTGACTCTGAAAAACACCAAAAGACAAATGCCCAAGGTCCCTGCTCATCTGCATGAACGTCCCTTAGGCATGCTGCAAGGAGGCATTAGGACTGCCGATGTTGCCAGGGCAATAAATTGCAATATCTGTACGGTGAGATGCCTAAAACACTACAGGGAGACAGGAAGGACAGCTGATCGTCCTCGCAGTGGCAGACCACATGGGACAACACCTGCGCAGGACCACAGGGCCGCACCAGATACTGTTTTTTCCATTTCTGTTAACTCGCTTGTCTGTGAAACTTTGTTCAGTTTAGGTCTTTGTTGTTAAATTTTTGTATTAAGTTTGCTGAAAATAAAAGCAGTTGTAAGTGAGAGGACGTTTCTTTTTTACATGCCCTGGTTACAGAAGCTTTGCAAAGCCGGCACTCTTGTATCTTTGTAGTCCACACAGAATATACTGAACAGCAAATTACTACACAGCAATAACCTTCGTCTTAACAAGTTATAGTTTCTGTTGGAGGGAAATTCTGCCCAATTTCAGTAGTAAGTTAATTAATTTAAAACCACTTGCAGGGACACACTGAAATCTATATCTGAAGCATCTGTAACCCAATAATCAACAATGCATTTTCAAAAGTGCATTTAATCTAGAATCCAACAGTTGTGAAGCAAATAGTGTTTAAGAAGCTCCACCCAAATGAGCTACATAACTCCAGAGCCATATTTGTTTTAAAAAAGGAAAGAACACTGTGTTTGACACAGATCCCATTTTTTTAAACTACTGCGCATGTGCAGAGATTGACAACTGTATGCACCCCATCCTGTCAACAAGCAATGTTAACATATTTACAGTAAGACCTGTTATTTTCGGCACCTTTATTCTCAAATTTTAAATTTAATCTCAAATTTAAAAGTATGAAACTAAACTCCCACTGTGTTGGTTTTTTGGGCACCACCTCTTCCTTTACCACTCATGAAACTTTCTTTTGCTGTTATTTGCTCATTTCCGTTCCATTAATTTAACAAAAAAAAAACGCTTGTAATAACAGAAAATATCAAATGATACTGCTGTCTTGCATTTACTCCCTAAGGGACTCCATCAGTAACTTTCAGCCAGCACAACAACAAAGTAACTGAACAGTATCTGGTGAGTTGCCAAACTGACAGAGACACACCTACTGTAGTAGCCACAGCAGTGTTCGGTGATAGGTCACCTCCTTGAGTAAACGTCCAAACAAGGCTAAAGCAAACACAGCCACGCAGTGTACCATAGTGAAACCAGGGTGGGCTGTTGTCTGACTAAACTGACTTGGTGGGCTGGGTTCACCTTATCCTGCTGACCCAGTCCAGCACACCCAAAAACACCCTCAGCTCACTGATAAGACTGATGCTGCATCCCTGGCAGTTTCAGTGAGTCCCACATAGCAGCAGGCAGACCAGGTCAAGGACCAAATAGGATTTTCTTACATATCTATGACAGACTGTAGCGTAGGACCTCACCATCAGAAACATACATAAAGGCTGACTGACACCTTAATGTCCTCATTTCATCAACAACAACAACAAAAAAAAAAATGTAGCGATACATGAGCGATTAACCTCCACCTTTTCCTTCCCAGACATGATTTGCAAGCATTTTTTGACCTGGTGCAAGCGTGTGATTAGAGCATCGGAAAAACAAGGAAGCGAAGGGAGGAAAACAGGAAAGCTGGAATCTCCTGTTAAAAAGAACGGCATTAGAAAGACAAAGAAAACCTATTTGACAATCTTACTGTGAGCCACGTAGTCCTACATAAACACTGCCATATTAGTCAAATTAGAACAACTGGTTGTTTCACATGAGACATTTTTGTATTTGTGGTTTTTTGTTTGTTTGAACCAGTGGAAAAAGGTGACGTCTAGTATTTCCATGCACCAATCACAATTTGACAAATAAAAATCTGAATCTGATGACAGTTACCACTGCAGCCCTGATGAAGCCAATTAGTTGAGCTTTTGACTATTATTATGAGTAAGACAATACTACAGATAACACACTTTTACTGTGTAAGAAACAGAAAAAGGTTGCATATTTATTGGCCTGTCTCGATTTTATTTGTGTTATTTTTCAGTTCCTTCTTACCAGAAACTAAAATGAATCACTGCAGAAAACTAAATTTAGTACTGTAAACATGAAAAGAGCGACTGAGAGAATCAGTAGCGAGTCAGCTGTACTCTGCAAGTAGCCAGATGGACAGTGTGTGTTTTTCTATTGTACTCATCTCTCAGTAATTAGGCCTCTCGTATGAAAAACTGTGACCACACTCCAACCACTCCACTTTAATCACCTTCCATCTTCCCGCTGAGCCACACACTGATACATCTGTGGAAGCAGATAAAAGCGACGACTGGTCTACAGCAGAGAGAGAGAGAGAGAGAGAGAGAGAGAGAGAGAGAGAGAGAGAGAGAGAGAGAGAGAGAGAGAGAGAGAGAGAGAGAGAGAGAGAGAGACCCCCCTCTGTTTTCCTTTTTTTTTATTTCATCTTTTTAAATTGTCCCGCTTTCTCTTCTCCGACACTCTCATCCTCCCTCCCTGTCCTACTAACATCTATCTCATCCTGTCCTCACTTCATTTTGTCCTGCTTCTATCTCCCCCCTCCTCCCGACCCTCACTTAGTCGCCCCAGAGGGAGGAAGACTGCCGACAATTCAGACACAACAAGAGGGAAAAATAATCTCTCGGTTATTCTTCTGATCATATTCAAATACATTCTTGCCTTCGGCGCTGACTTCACTGAGATCCAGCCTGTGTGTGTGTGAAGCTGCCTGTGGAAATTAATGTTTAATGCTGAAGCAACTTTTATCCTGTTGCATAGAAAATTAATACAATCATCAATGTTTTGCTAAATCTAAACCGATCTGCTGGCTTAAGAACAGAAATATAATCATGTTTGTTATAGTGTATTGTACTAATAATGTCATTGTGTTTTACCACCCACGGGAATTGGATTCATACTAAAAAGGAAATCAGAAGCTTCGCACCTTATCAGATGTGCAAGAAATATTATTTTTTCAATTTGCAATTTCACCTTGGTCAGGTGATATTATTAGAAAATACAATGATGTCTAGCAACCAGAGGTCTGTTCTCAACATGGTGACTCTACTGTTTACTTTGAAATACTATAATAGCTTTTAACTTTAACATTGTCCGAGGATGTTCACATCCATATTGGGTAAACAGTGTAGAAATTGCAGCCTCTCTTAATACCTTCTTTTTGAACGGTGCAGCAGGACAATGCCATATTTCCACGCTGTTCAACCAGCCGGCACTTTAACCTCATAGTCATATTTTTCTATCTCAATTTAATTTCAGTTTCAGATCTAATGTCCTCAAACATAGTACAGCAAAAAACGTCAATGTTTAAATACTTGCCTTTGTAGTTACTATGTAGAATTTGTAAGGAAGTACTATGTTGTAGTAGTACATATTTTTACTAACCCTACTTCAAGGTGCCCATGCTTGTTTGTCATTTGTGTTCCAGGTCTGACTTTTCTGTATTGACACATGAATTCAAAGACTTTTAATAGCCAACCAAAGAGATCAGCATTTAGAATTTTCTTAGTGGGTGTACAATTTGTACCATTCTCCACCCACTGAACACTGCTGTAAACATTACAGGACCATATAAGGCAAACACAGGCCTTAAAACAGCAACTGCTCTCGCTATATAATTAACACGGTGATATTATCACAAACAAGTTGTAAGGAAAACATTCAAATCAAGAACAAAATGTAACCATTAATATTGCCTGAAGAATAAAGCTAAACTGATGCCATCGGTGCAGCATTACTTGCAGGTTTTTGGTCCTGAAGCCTCACTGATGATGTACGATATGGACTACAAGTGACATCTAGTGGTCAGTGATATAAGACTGAATGCTCAGGTACACTGTGATGGGATGGGACTGGACCTCATTTAGACAATTGTCCAGGAATGTGTAGAATTACATCACTTGCAAACATTTATCACATATGTTGTGTAAAAGTAAGTAAGTGTGGTTAATTCCTTTAATATGTTTTAACATCTGTTTTTAAGAAAAGGCAGATTTGCTGTTCTTTTAAATCAAATCATTCAAGTTAGCTCTAAATTGTTTATTTGTTGACACTCAAGCAGATTTCAATACCGCTTTAGTTACCCAGTCTCTGTTTGACTGTCTGGAATAAACTTTAATTTCCACTCACCGCATCGAATTGCAGAAAGAAGTCATCTGGTTTGTCTTCGATTCGGTCTGAGTCAGCATGCACCTCCACCATCGGGTTGAGGTTCTGCGCTCGCTCCAGAGAGGCACGGGCTCGATTCTGACCCTGAGCCGTCACCGGAACCAGGAACTGAGCTCGGCATGACTCCACCGACACCTAGTGGGCACACAAACAGGGAATGCATCGCAGGGTGTCAGAATCAGAAATACTATATTGATCCCCGAGGGGAATTTCGCTCACATTGCACTTCAAAGTATAAATACTTTGTAAATGTTTCGCAACTGTCTAGTCGTTTTGACCACTCAGAGCACTTAAACTACACTCACATACTGATAAGAAAGTGCAAACTGCTCTTCAGAAACAGAAAGTAACTCATTCACACACACCGATGGCACAGCCACCAGGAGCCATTTGGGCTTCGGTGTAATAATAATTAATAATCAGTCATTTAGCTCAAGCTTTTATCCAAAGCAACTTACAACAGCTATATATATCAGAGGTCGCACGCCTCTGGAGCAACTACGGGTAAAGTGTCTTGTTGGAACCACCAACCTTCCAGTTAGTGGATGACTGGAAGACTAACCCCTGAGGATTCCCATAAAGGAATAGAAATAATAATATAAATAAGTACACAATCTAAAAATAAATGTATAATTAAGAGTGTGGAAAATGCACAGTATGTAACAGTAAGCTATATAAAAGTATCTGGATGTGATTTAGCTGAAGACAGATAATTGCCCTTATGTATTCTGCAGAGATTTATATCCAATGGGAATTCTTTGTCTTCCATTAATTTAGTTACGCTGGACCACAGACACAAATACATACATGCTATAGATTCAAACACTTGAAAGGGTGATATGAAGCCAGAATTCAGCTGTTATTGCAATGTTACCACAATAAAGTTAAGGGGAAATATCTTGTTTCCTCACTGAGTAGTGAAAGTCATTAAAGACAGTCACCATCTAGTGGACATACAAAAGTACTGCAGATTGAAATTGCCACATAAGGATATCTAAAATTCAATTATCTTTTAGGAGTTATGAACATTTCACACTGATGTTCAGTTGATACCTGAAAACAAAGATTTCTAGATTTAAACTGAAGCTCAAGTCCACTCTGTAGGCGACAGCATGCTCTGATGAGGAAGGAAAAAGAGTTTTCGTATGTGTGTAAAAGGACAGAGGGTGTTGTACAAATTTGTTAAGCTGCTTTGAGGCAAATTTGTTATTTGTAATATTGGGCTGTATAAATAAAACTTGACTTGTGTATGAGCATGTGCACCTGTTCATGATCCAGCAGAGTGAGTGCTTTAACTCCAGCCAGGATCAAGTTCTTGGCCACTTCTGCCCCCAGACCACCTAAACCTGCCAGGAGCACACGGGACCCTCGCAACCTGTAAACAAAAACACATGGAGACAAAATGTCATGTCATTCTGGGCCAGGCAAGAACTACCAGAATGAGGAATAGTTTCTACCTGGATGCTGTCCGACTGATGTGACAGGTTTTGCACCACACCCTACTGCTCTAGAGGTAGTCTGTCCTACTATGATGTTACTAAAGTGAATTAGTGTGTATTGACATTCCATTTTATACATAAATGTATTATGTAATGTTTGAAGGCTGCTCCACACTTTTTATATGTATTTTAGAATTATTATTTTATGATAATATTGAATTAAGTATAGCCAAGGCAGAGATCAAAGTACTAACTTCGTTCTTGGCAGAACAGAGATCCTTGAATCCTCGATGAAAATCTGTTTCATATGTGCCCACTGTAGCGCTGGAATGTGATTTTGAGCCGTTTTGGTTGTTTTTGTAACAAATTAGTTAATAAACTTTTATTTAAAACTGTAGGTCTTATTAAAATAAATTTAACTTTGCGGTAGACATGGCCAACAGATGCTTATATAAACGTGGTGTGGAACATACAGTTAAATCAAAATGAACTACTAATAAGATCAGAGTTTAAGATTAAACAATAATTGAGTGATTTGAAGGTTTGTGTTAGGGCTGGGTGATTTGGCCAAAAATGTTATAATGATAAAAAATGTATTATCATTCAATTTCAATAATTGTATAATCATGATTAATGTTAAATCCTTATTTCAACTTTAAAGGTTGATTTTTGCTCCCGAGTGAAAAACCAGAATCCAGATGCTTAATTGAGGTTTTAAACTATTCTTTATGGTCAGAACAAACACTTTAATGCCAAAGAGTGGATCACTTAACAAATTTGTTTGCCCTCTTGTTTTATTTTCATGCTCTATGTGTTTTTTTATTTTTTATTTTAGCACTTTTCTGTTTTTATCTGTAGCACTTTGGGATAAAGTAATTTACAAATAAAATGTATTATTATTATTATTATTATTAATCAAATCTGAGGTAGAACATTCAAAACAATTATAAAATCTTTTTGTGAACAAATATGGATGGATGGAAAACTGTCCTCAACAAAATAATTATCTTAATAGAAAAATTAAGTGCTGATTCCTTTGTGAAACAAATGCATTAAGTCAAGCATTTATCGGACATTTCTTTTATTATCATTATTGTTCTATTGCCCAGCCATAGTTTGTGTTTTTCATTTACATGGAGCAAAACAAGTGCTGTGTTTCCATATAACTTAAAGCGTAGGCACCCTGTGGCCATTCACTTTATTAATTATAGCTAACGATATTCTCAAGGAATAGTCCACACAATGCGTAGTCTGTTCACAAATCAAAATAACTGCTTTTTAAGTTAAAACTGGCTTAAAGAGGGCAACAACTCAAGCCTTCCGCTGCAGCTATTAGCCTGCCGAGCTAACTGAGCTAACTGACCTCTTCTGGGCATCGAGCCCCCACAATCGGATCTGTCGGTCGTACTGCGCCGCCTCCTCCTCGCTGATGACCGGGTCCTCCTTCTCGATCATATCGATCATTTCAGTTCACTCTATAAACGGGAAATTAGTTGTAAAATTGCGTTAGCCTTTTTTGTGCTGCTGCAAATGTTTCAAACGCCGCGACAGTCCCGCTGAATGAATGGGCGCTGAATGATGACGTGAGCCAGGACGAAACAATGGATTGTCCGTTTTTATTTATTTTTTAAAAACATTATTCTTTCTTTTTAATTTGTCGATGTATTTATTGAAGAAATTTCCCCGATATTTCACCAGACATTTTCTTTCTCGTCATTTCAGTTTTGAATATAACTTAAGATAAATATTTGTTTGTCATTCTCGTTTTAATTTTTAAAATAGCTTGATTCCCAAATAATGTGTCGCTGTTGCTGGCTTGTATTTTATGCACCGGCCATTTAGCCCTGTGGTGTAACCATAGACTGTATAGGTGTAACTTAAAAAAGCCATTTATAGTTATCACAAAGCTTTGGGCCAACAAGTGTCTAGGCTGGGACATGGGTTAATTTTTCCCTGGGTGTAGTCTTTTCCGAACAACTATTCGAGCAGCCATTTTTAAAAGACAGCTTGTTATGTGGCTTCAGATGTTTAATCTAGCACGGACTCTTAAATGAGCAGTCGAACTGTTACTAGTAATAGTTCGCCCTAGGTTTCCCAAGTATTTTACATAAATCCTATCTAGATTGCAACACTGTAGTTTGTCAGGACACATGCAGGCTACAGGAAACTGCATGCATTGGCCTCCAGGATACATGTGTACGTTTTCTATTACAGCGACCAAACTTAGAAAAGAAAATTACCTCGCTAATTAATGTGAGACAGGTGTTTGAGTATTTTGGGGACTATTTTGCCTTTCCCCAAAGGTAACTATAACATTTTATAAAACTGGCACCTCTATTTAGTCCCAAAAGCAAAGCATTTAAGATATTTCAGTAATAATATTTAGTGACGGTGCTTGTGCCCGATTTTGTATTCATATTGTGAGACTGAAGTCAACAGTCAGAACCAACACAGTTAACCTGGGGCAGCAAAAGCTGGTAATTGATACACTGCAAAATTGAATTATGAATAATACACCTCTAAAGAACGTCACCCAAGCACGTCCTGCATATATTTGCCCAACACATTAATCATGTTGTATTTCAGCACAACCCTCTAGAGTCAGATTAATTAGGCCAGGATTTCTAAACAAAAAATGTCAGTCTTGCATACAAAACTTGAATACAGACTCAACATTTTATTTGGCAAACAACTGGCGTCTCATCTAGGCATTTTACATGAACATCATGCATAATTAAGCTGCAATTACTGTCCAATCAGTATTTGGTCCACAAGTGCGCCTGCGAGTCAAACTCGGGGGCCTATGTTGAAATGTTAATTCCATATTCGGTAATTTCCGTGAGACGCGTTCAAAGAACGTTATTCGTCGTGACGTCATCCTCGGAGAAACCCGCCCCTTTTCTCCTAGGAGAAGGCAGACGGCCATTTTAAGTCTATCAGTCGTCATTTCACATCGCTACAGTAGGACGGAGAACGTCAGGACTCAATTTCATCATATTTCTCTTACAACTGTAGTGGAGAATTGCCTACTATGAACAGAAACTCTTCCTAAAACCAAAAACAAGTAGATCCTAGTGAAGTGACGCATAAGCCAGTAGATTCCAGTGTCGAGTTGTAATTTTTGCACCTCAATGTAGCTAGAGGAAATGGCTGTGGAAAGCATGACTGTCCATCCAAACTCCCCAACTACCAACCACGAACACAACAGTCTCCTGACTGACGAAAGGTCGAGTAATTCTACAGTCATATTTAAATGAAATTATTTATTTGTCCTGTGCTTTTACACAAAAAGCCCGGGGTTTCTTTTTCTTTTTCTGTCAAAGGGATTAAACTCGCCTTTTCTGGAAAACGAGTACAGAGGTAAAGAACGCCATGTTGACACGACAACGCCAACTGGGAGGCCACATAGCACCTGGGATAACGTTATTCCCTTTTATTTTTTATTACCTTACCACAATCAACGAGCAGTCGACTCAAGACTATTTGTCTGAAGGAAAAAAAGACGAGGTCGAAACAGCTGATCAGTCATACTTTAATCGTCATTCTAGCCAATTCAGCGGTTAAAAAGCATCGGTTAATTACTTGCCCATTGTAAACTAACTAATTTACGTTAATTAAATTAATTGTGTGGATGTGGTGGCAAATACTGTAATTCCGCTCTGGTAAAAAATCCAAACAATTGTCTTTTGCTGAAGTTGGGCCTATTTTCAGGCTAACTTGGCAACATTAGCTTGTTGGCTAATGTTACCAACGAATACAGCTGGAGAGAAGCTAAGCTAATAGCTAATGGTTTTTGCTAATGGTAATTTGCTATTTATGACATTTCCAATCGTTGAATTTAATATAGCGTTAACTTAACATTGTCAGACCCGGTTGATAATGTTATGCGATCAGTATGGACTAATACATTATCTTATAATTCGTTAAAATCTACTCGTTCATTTTGCGTAAACGTATTGACAATGCGAAGCAACTTGTTCAGTTAGCTCAGGTTAACTTGCGCAGTTTATATTTGTAGTCGGGCCGTCGTCTTTCTACTTAATTAACACTCGTAAGAAAGCGTGTTTAGCTGCTGAACATCCTGAAATTATTGGAATTTCTTTCCCTCAAGTTTTAAATGTTTAACTATCTTAAAAATATTGATTTTTGAAAGCTATCGACTAATCAGTTTTGTAACGTGACTGTTACAGTAGCAAACGCGTGTGTGCTGCTTGTTGGTCATTGATATTTGTCTAACACCACTTTTATTCACAGTCGTGCCCACACTGACTCGTCCCGACCCAAACATCCAACAAAGCCCCCCCAAAATGTGCAAAACGTCTGCAAAGCATCCCAGAAGTGTTTAAAGTCAAACACAAAGTTCCCTTTTTCCACAGTCCCCAGTTGGCAAATTTGCTCTATGTTACCCAGTTGGCCCCATTCCCAAATCCCACAGACTCCACCAGTGTCCCTAAAAGGTTAGGGGGAAAATCTTTTTCATTGGTTTTGAGTGCAAAATGTGAAGAAAACCTGTCACAGTAAGTATTCCCCATTTTAATCATGGCCCTTTGCTTATAGAATTAATGAAGTTGTGGAGTCATCCACTGAGCTAATACTGTACCATAATGCATGGTAAATCATTTGATTCAATCATCCTTAATAGAGAAGACTAATATTGTGACTCTGATGAACTTTTAGAACTTCTCACAGTTGTCTGCTTGTAGGGTGTGTAGATAGGTTTTACCATCCGTTTGTAGTATTGATAGATATAAATGGAAACTTGTTTACATGGATTTTCCTGAACTTAATTGTTTATGCTTGTGTAGGGTCTAATCAGTAAGCTTATGTTTGTGTTGGTAAACTTAAACTATATTAACTCTTACGGGTACACTGACCTGACTTGTTAATTTTTCTTGGCTGAACATAGAGGTGTCTGAATGGAGTTTGTTTGCATTGCAAGTTTCTCTCATTGGTACATTGTTGGCAGGAGGTGATGTGTGTATAGTATCTCCACAGGCCACAGAGACCAACAGCTTCTGCACACAGTGAATCCCAGCCACTCCCTATTCACAACAACCTGCTTCCATAATACAGCCAAATCCCTGTGCTATGATAGAGAGCCCTCTATTGTGTCAGGAGAGTTTTAGTCTTGTAACAGGTCTGTGTCTGATTTGGAGTAACGGTCAGCTTCATAGCAGTGAGGTAGAGGAGTGACTTGGCTGTTGAGTTTGTGGTGTTTGGATTCAAGGTTGGTGCAGGACTCAAACCCTGTTGAGTATAGCAAAGATTTTGAGGCCGGGAGATGAAAAGTTTAAAAAAAATCACTGGTTTTTGATACCAAACTGTTGTATTGAGCCAATATTGTCCTGAAAACACTGCATAATATTTTAGTATTCATATTTTTGGAGCTATTTTGTATAGAATGGCCAAGGAAAGTTGGTAAAAGTAACTGAGAAACAATTTTCAGGGAGAGCATAGCATGTGTTGGATTTCATTCTGGCTTTTGTTCAGAGCAAAATAAAATCAGCCCCCAAAATGAAGACAGGTTTTATTGTTTGTTCTGGATTGTGCTTTAAAACAAACACCAGATAACAGGATTTTGTCCATGGAGCAACTGCAGGTTTTATACCAGTGCCTTGTTCTTCAAAAGGTTTACTAAATTATCGGCGTAACTTGGCTGCATAAAACCTGGAACTTCTTTAAATCTGGAACAAGCATAGACAAAAGAAGATCTTTTCTTTTCTGGCCTTTACTCAGCAAAGTTATCCAGATAACTTGGTAAACGTACCTGTTTTGGGGCAGGGCCCTGATAATTTCGGTCTCTGTAGTCGCTTCATACTCATTGAGTTAACCTCAATGTCAAGTATTTTCTGTCGGAAAATATGAAGTGTAGGTACTCAGAATATGTTTTTTGTTTGGTTTCAATGACAAAATAAACTACTGAGTAGTATTCACTAGTACCATTGGTAGCTGGAAACACGTTTCTGAATTAGTCTCGCTGTGCAGATGAACATTTTGTTCATGACCGAGAGACAAAGTACAGATTATTGGGGCTGATTAATGTGCTCTCCCCAGAGGAAGCCGGTATGCTGAGGATGTGGTGGGGTGTACACATACAGTGCAGCTGACATTTTGCTTCAGAGCAGGTCGACTATTCCTGCTTTGTCTTCACAGTATGCTCTTTGTAGGACAAAACCAGTCATTGAGTAGTCAAATATTGTAAGGCAGTAGGCATGTCAGTGAATAAGCAGAATCCTATTCACATCAGCCTGGCCTCTGGCCTGGCTCCCAGCCTGCTGCAGACAGTACTTGTCAGCCTGGGTGTGGGCCTTTGCGGGAGAGCCACATCCTAATAATTCAAATAGGGAGTGTCGATACCTTGTCTCTTTGTTGATACTAAAATTTAACCCCTGTGCTGTAAGTCAAATCACATCCTTGTCAGTGAAAATGGCAGACAAAACAATGACCTGTATTTGTCAAGAATATTTATGACCACTAGTTGTTTGGTATCTAGTGCTTGGGTAAAACCAGCACCTCTTCTTAGAAAATGGTGGATGGGTAGGGAAGGAAAACAGTGCATGAGAA